TCAGCATATCTCTTGTTAGACTCGGCCTCAGCTGCATCCTTCTTCGATGCCTTGCCCCCAAGTGGCACAAGCGCCACTATCGGCTGCTCATCCCCATCCAAGGCCTCCTCCAACGCCTCGTCCTCAGCAGCCGCCAGGATCTCTTGATTATATGTTTTAGAACACTGGCGGTACGTTTTTTCCCACGAGGCAAAGTCGGCACTGGGGAAGAGGCGGCTCCAGGTCATGCGCTGGATCTGGGAAGAGTCTTCCATCATCTCTCGGACGAGCTCTCTCTTCTCTTGCTCAGCCTTCTCCGAGAGCTCTTTAGTTAGACTCTTCTCCTGGGTCACCAGGCGTTCCTTTACGTTAGCCAAGGATTTCTCCATGGCTTCGTATGAGAGCATCTTTTGGCGGAGAGGTTTAAGCTCGACCTTGAGATTGGAGACGGTCGCCTCCAGCTCGCTGTTCCTCTTCTGGGCCGCCTCTAACTGAGCCCGGATAGCGGCGGCAGCCTGCGCCTGATAATAAAGAATATCAATTGTCAGAACTTCATTTTGGGCAATTTGAAACATTGCCTTATCACAGTCAGAGGCGGCCATAGCTTTTGCAGCCTTTACCTCTTTGTTTCTCCGATCAAGCGGCTTGCGAAGGCCGTTCACTCGGAGCAGGGCCTAAGTAAAGAGAAAACATGCGTCAGTTTCCAAACAAAAAGATAACAGGCGTCCTGGAATTCAAATACTCAAAAAATGCTAAGTATACCTCAGCAAGGACCCCTGCAATCCCATCAAGGTCAAGGGTGCCGACACCCCTGACCGCCTCCCTTTCAGATGGAGGAACTGCTTTGATCATGGACTTGGCTACCTCTACCAAGTCAGGCTCCTGAGGGCCGGCTGCATCAAGCGTAAAAAAGCAAGTTAGACCTAGTCAAGAAGGAAGCAAGTGTAAAAGTTTTTACAAGTAATTGTCCATACTTCTAGGCGGCCCCGCCGGAGTTTTAGAAGAAGTGGCCGGCTGCTTCTCAGCCGCCACTGTTTTCCTGGAAGACCCAGGAGAGCTTGCAACAGTCGTCCTCCGGGCCTTGGGGTCCGGCTGTTGCGAGGAAGAAGCTCTTGGAGTGCCCGACTGAAAAAAAAAAAAGAGTTAGTATATGCATAAGACAACTCCTAAAAGAGGAAGAGTTTCGAAGCCCACCAAGGGTGCCCCCTTGTTGGGGGAGTCGGTACAAGACTGTTGCATGAGAGAGGCCCGCAACATGGCCGTCGCAGTCTTGGATGCTGTTATTTTACTCATGGCGTCAGCTGCAAAAAATAAACAGCAAAGTTAGTAAAAATCCCAAGTAAACAAGGCGTGAAAAAACAGAGTATTTGTCAGGCCGGCTACCTCTAGAGCACCGACTGCTGAGGCCACAGGCGGCCAAAAAGTACTCGTCATAGAGCCACTTGAAGCTCGGGACGCAGTTTAGGGGTACTTGCTCTCGTACCCCTGAAGTAGAGTTCACCCTAGTCTCTACTTTGAAGAGTCCTTTGTCTAGGATCTCTTTTTTAGCCTTTGGGGGAACAGGCGGCATGCTGCGGCCGCCTGCGAGAAGAGGCGGATCCCTATTCCACTTGTTAAAGCGTTTGTTCAGCTCCGTGTCTGAACCCTCGATGATAAGGAAGGTGTTCCGCCAATCCTTCCATTTGTTCGCCTTACCTCTCGTCATGAGGTAGCCCCTATGGCTTGTTAATTGATACCAGCCGGTACCGCCCGACTTAGGGGTCCGGCTGAGATAGTTCATGTGGGCGAAAGCCTCAAAGCTTGGCTCCACCCCGTACATTTCGCACCCGGCCACATAGCCGAGTACGTTTACCCAAGAGTTGGGGGCTAACTGCCATAACCCCAAATCATACCCATCTAAAATCCGCTGAACAGCCGGATGTAATGGGAAGCGCAGTCCAGCTTTGATGGCCGCCACATAGCAGCCAAAGCAGCCGTCATCATAGCTGGTACCAGCCGGCCACACGACAGTGTCTTCTGGATCCGGCACGAACAGTAAAAATCCGGGGCCCATTCTGTGGTTAGCTATAAAGCTCTCCACTTTGTCTTGCATGGCTGCGATCCGGCCCCGGGGTACCGTGCAGTAGTAGGGGGTGTTTTCCTCTCTGTAAGAGGCGGACGGCTCCGCCCAATTGCCCCCCTTCTCAACTGCATGAGAAAGCCTCGCCTCTTGTAGGCGGCTGTTTCTTTCTTCTGAGCCTGGAGAAGCGTGGCCAGAAGAGCTGGACTCGGACTCGTCCTCTGACGAGTCCGAAGAGGACGACTCCTCCCCTCTCCCAGAGGGGCCCGCCTCCTCTCCCTTAGAAGGAGCAGGAGAAAAGTTAGACATATCAACGGTGAAATGGGAAGGGACCACCTTGACCCCTCCCTCAGAACTGTCGGCTTGGCAGCCGCCTTGTTTCACTTCTACATCTGGCGCCTGGTCAGATGTTTCACTAATGGGCACCCTTTGGGAGGAGCCGTCCGAGTTTGAGATCCTAACAGTCTTTTTTGTTCTGGCCATCACGTTCTGCATAGACACAGATACAGTCGGACTTTGTATAAAGGGCAAAGATGGGTCCAGAAAAGGGCAGGCGGCACTCCTAGTCCTAGATTCAGCCGTCCCCGGTGACCGGCTGATCACTAACTTAGGTCGTGTCGTGTGCTTCCATGGTGCCATTTCAAAAAATAATAATAAGAAAAAAATTAAGAATAAGAGAACCGACGGTTACCTGAACGAGTGACGACTGATGAAATTCTGAAATCCTTTGCAAACGGCTTGTCAGAGCAGGCGGTAGGCAACAAAAGTCCAAAGTGTCAGAGCAAGTTCAGGGGTCCGAATGTTCTCTCGCAAAGTTCTCAAATGTGAAAATGACCGAAGTCAGCACTTCCTTATATAGGCAAAGTGAGAAGGCGAAGGGTCGCTTCCAAATTCAAAATTTGGGCGGGAAAACCTCTCGGCCATTTGCAAGGTGACACCTGTAGCAGGCCGTCGCCTGTCACCATGCGACACCTGTCACAGGTGACACGTGACCAGTCACGTGCCACCTGTGAGGGGCAAATGATTAGGGGATTTTTATCCAGGTGGATATCCCGCCTTACTACTAGGCGATGTCCCCAAGGATATCGTCTAGCATCCGTGAAACTCTCAGGTTGGAATAAGACTAGGAGAAGAAGTAATGCAAAGAGATAGAAAAACTACCTGATTAATTCAATCCTGCCCGGCCGGCCGGAGTCCAATCACCGTCTGACAAGTGGACCAACCAGGTTCCGCCACGTGTCCTTCACGTAGGCCAATAGGAGCCTGCCACGTGTCAATCACAGATACGTCCTCTACGGACCAATTGAGACACGCCACGTGTCCACCCATGCCAAATGGGAAAACCGGCCAACAAGGCCCAATCCTGTTTAGAGGCCCGGTCAGCCCAGGTTTACCCTAAACCTAGAGAGTGGCACGCTTCCCGAGGTTATAAATACCCCTCTTAATCCTCATTAAGAGAGGGGGGACTCGAAAACAACACACGGATTACACATTAAACACTCTCACCTAGAGAGACTAAATCACTTTAATTTCCGCATTTATTACTCCTTAATCAGGTACTAACTTGACCGTTGGAGGCGGAGCTCCTACCACAAGGAGTCTTCGTTGTTTTGCAGGTACAGGCGTCCGGTTCCAGTCTCGGTGTTGTAACTCTCCCGCAGGACACCAGAAAACCCCGAAACACTTATACTAGTCGTTATGTGTATAAAAATTCACCATTATGTAAAACATTTCAAAGTTTATATCACATACTGTATAATCATTTATACTACGTATTAGCTTCCTCCTACAAAATTAAATCTTGATGTATTATTTTATACTGATCTGTATTTTGTTAGCTTCTTATTTATTTTCCCACAAGTGAAAATTGTATTTTACCTTAAAAGGATTTACCTGAAAAAAAAATAGAATTTCTCTCTATCTTATTGTTAATTAAAAAAAAATTCAAAAATTTGAGTTCTTTATTTATTTATTTTTTTATCTTTTTTTTAATATCAAATTATATATCATACATGCATTTTATTTCTTACTGATATGTTGGGGCCTATTTTTTAAAATTAGCATAGGGCCCCCAAAGTATATAAAACGGCTCTGCATATATATATGTCAAAAATACACTATTTTACCTCGTAAAAATATAGGATTGCTTATAAGAAAAAAAATGTCACTTACATAGTTGCATTATTTTAGTTTGTACTACGTATATATTTCCAATGGATAATTATGACTTGTCTTACCTTTTTATTATTAAATTTTCATCCTTAATAATCAGAGATGTTAATGGTGCGGGTGGTATCAAAGGGTGATCCCTCTTTTTCTATCTCCGATTCTTCACCTAAAATTTTCATCTCATCCTCTCCTCATTAGTCATCACACACAAGCCAACGTGGATACTAAAGTCATTTCATCCTCCGCTCCATCAAGTACAAAACCAATTATTGCAATCTCGCCTCACCATGGACACCATCCACTTAGATATCCATCCTCCATCACACATTACGGGGCGTTTGGAATGTGGGAATGGGAGTTTGGGGATTAAAAAGTGGGAATGAGATTGAGAATTAATTGTTGGGAATTCATGAAAATATACCAATACCTTATTTGGATAGTGAGTTGGAATATATACGGAATAAATAACAATTTTACAAATTTACCCTTACTAATATTTCCTTTCATTGTTTTCATTAATGGCAAATATGTCATTTTTAACTTATTACCATTCCCATCCATTTATTACCTACCCTCCTTATGTGATAAAATGGTGGAAATTCTCCCCTAAATATTTCTATTCCCAAACTTATTTTTATTCTCATTCCCATCATACAAACAAAACTTCTTTGTTGAATTGGGATTAAAACTCTCAATCCCACCCTCAATTCCGAAATACCAAACACCCCCTTAGTTCTCTACTACTAATGCCCCCTATTCTCCAAGTAAAGTACACATCACCTAATTAAGTTGGTTGAAGAGAGATAGTAAACGTTGATTGAGCATTCACCACAAGATAATTAGAATTTGATTCCAAAAAATTATTATGTTGAAGTAAGCATTCATCACCACGTGTGCTCTTCAACTGCCGTTACAAATCTACAATCTCCTCCCCAAATTCACACACTACTAAACCCTTAAAGCTCAAATTACAACAATTAAGCTGCAAAATTTTAACTTAACAAGCTCCAATTCAATGGCTTTCTCTTCAATTTTCACTTCCCCTTTGCCCTCATTATCCATTTCTAATGCAAGAATTCGACCTAATTTTTCCCCTTTTATGGCTCTTCACTCAATTTCCAGCAAAATCGGATTTGGGTCCTTAAATTCATCGTTTTTCCAAGATGGATTTTCTCTAAAATCATTCAATTTTAATGGGGTTTCTGTAAAATCGCAGAATTCTATTTCTGCTGGAGTTTATGCTAGAGCTGCTACTGAACAAACCATCCATGATTTTACTGTGAAGGTATTTGCTTCCCTTTGATATTGCCCAAAATGCGGATAAAATTGTTGCTTTTCAGTAATTATAATCATCTTCAAGATCTTACCTTTTGTTCTGTAATTTGGTATTACTCACTTTTAATATGTCGAACCTTGTTGCTGAAATTTAAGGTCAGAATTAGAGAACTAGACAATTAGTGGAATGTATGCTTCTTTCTTGATTGTGGGATTAGGTTTTAGGCTTTTACCAAATTGGGTATGACTGAAAACTGTAGAGGTTAATGGAGCTGGTTTTGATTGATTGATTGGATTTATAGGGGAAGCTGCCCCTACTATGGAGGCAAGCTTTAGCTTGACGGCTGGGTCGATTACCGGTTGGTTGTCGATTTGTTGAGCCGGTAGTCATTGTATCTTGCATAAATGAACTAGTGGCTCACTTTTCAATTTTACTGTAGTTGAATTGCTTGAAATAACTTTATTTGGATAACCTTGATTTGAAATTTGAGCATGAATGATTTTAGATTGTAATGACTCTTATGAAGCATGTTGTAAGTGGCTTCTTAATGTGAGAGATTATGCATACCCTTACCCAAGCATTGCTTAATGAATAATCCATAATCCTGGATTTTACTTTTGGGAGGAGGTATTGGTGCCTAGAAACAGAAAATGGTTTTACATTAGTTCAATTGTGAGCATATCGATTATTGAGGAGAAACATCTTATAATGGCGGAATTGATTGTAATGTATGTGATGCAGGATATTGATGGAAATGATGTAGCTCTTAGCAAATTCAAGGGGAAGGTTCTCCTATGTGTCAATGTTGCTTCAAAGTGGTACATATTTCATCTCCCTTTTAACATTTTTACTCCGAACAACTTTTCAAAAGACGTGGTTTATCTACTATGCAATTTATTGGTTTGATACCTTAGCATGCAACATGGATCTTTGTATAACACAATGACAAGAATATTTTGCTTTCAGTGGTTTGACATCATCAAACTATTCAGAACTCTCACACCTGTATGAGAAGTACAAGACTCAGGGTAAGTTGGCTATTTGGTACATATGTTCAGTTAGTTTCTATTTCTGACCTTTGGGGAGCTCTGGTCTGTTGTTAGAGATAAATTAGTGAATTTTACTATAGTTATTGCAGACCTTTGTATCATAAAATTATCTGAGTATTCTTTCACTACTATAGCTATTTATCAATGCAATATTATGTTGTGTGTACCTGTAGCATAGCCATCGCAGAGTAAAATATTCATTAGCCTCTTTAGTACTTTGGTTTTCTTTGGTTATGCTTCTGAAAACAAGCTAGTGTTGCATGTTTTTACTCTACTGAAGTGCTGAAACAAAATAACAAATGTTCTTAATTGATCTCAATAATCTGAACTTTTACAGACTGATAGATGCAATAATTGTTTATTTACAGGCTTTGAGATTCTAGCATTCCCGTGTAATCAATTTGGAGGCCAAGAACCTGGCTCAAATCCCGAGATTAAAAATTTTGCATGTACAAGGTTCAAAGCTGAATTCCCCATTTTTGACAAGGTTTGTTAGTGAACTCAACAGCTCATAATCACCAGAGATCCATAATCGACCAGTTACTGAAACCGTGACTGCTACTGACTGTAACAGGTGGATGTGAATGGTCCTAACACAGCGCCAGTTTACCAGTTCCTCAAGTCAAGTGCTGGTGGGTTTTTTGGTGATTTGGTCAAGTGGAATTTCGAGAAGTTTTTGGTGGACAAGAATGGCAAGGTTGTAGAGCGATACCCACCTACAACATCCCCTATCCAAATCGAGGTATGGTCCTGAATTTTTTCATTTAGTTTCTGTTTTATTGTGCTTCAATATTAGATGATGTTGCTGCTTTAAGAGGCTGTTGAGTTTTTTCCCTTTATCCTCTTTGTATGCATGTCATATTTTTTTTTTTTTTTGTCTATACTTAGTCAAACTGGTTCATTACTGCCTTTAATCTACTATTATATTTCATACAATGTATATGTTGTACATAATGGTCATTTCTATCATCTGTTTGCACTATGAGTCTATGACGTATTGGATGGATGGTATTTGAAATCATGTAAGCTGAACTCAGGCATTGATGTTGCCTTGTAAAATATGTTCGTGGCAGGTGTTTGTTAGAAAATTTTCTTTGGAAGAAGAGCTAGTTAATTACCAATATGGTAGACTTTACTAGTGAATCAACTGTTTGGGACTTACTATATGTCAACCAACTATAAATCGTGAAAGTAGATTAATCTCTTCTCTTTCCTACTATGCTAGTAGCAGCAGCAAATTGTAAGAGTTGTTTGGCTCTGAAAACTAAACATCCATTGATATGGCAATTAGTAGCAACTTTTATGTGTGATTTGAGTACTTAACTACAAATACAGAGATATTAATGTCCTAATTCTCCATATTTTAAATCTGGTAATCATAATTGGCTTAATTGCTAAGTTACTTAAGATTATATTGATGCATAATGCTTTCTAGTCAAATGTGCAGAGATGATATGTTTTTCATGTGCTAAAGGGAATAAATTGCTTTGAACTTACAGAAGGACATTCAGAAGCTGCTGGCTGCATAGATCTTCATTACTTGTATGCACCTATAAGAGAAGATAAGTGCGGTATTGTTTCATCACTGCAGGATACATCATATGTTGTTGTTTTTTTTCTTTTTTTCTTTTTTTTTCTTTACACTGTTTCTCTTTGAGGAAATGATTGTATGAAAATGAAATGCAATCCTGATACTTAACTGCTTTATCATGTTTGTGGATTAGCCATAGTTAGCTCACAATAAGGGCATGGAATTACTATCCTATGACGTTGTAAATAGTTTTTCTTTCTCCTACATGTCAATATGAGAGAAATCGAACCACTCCAAACGAAAACCAAATTTATATGCAGAGGAGAGACTCATGTAGTCATTTAGTGTCTTATTTATACCTGATGTACACATCTTTTGTGATACAATAAACGTCATTTTCTTTCTTCTTTGTCACGTAATGATAATGTTCTTGCCCCGGAATTTCATGTAAATCAAGTGTTGTATATTGGGAAAGTGATTGATAAATTGATAGACATAGAGAATGACCTTTCTAGCTAAATGATTGCTTACATTTTTATGTACAAGGGACAACAATTTATAATTGATAGCTTGCTCGATACATGGCCCTTTTTTATAACTTGTGAAAAAAAGTTGTTATTTCCAACTTTAATAAAACATCCTAGATATTCTTTGTTCAAAGTAAAATGCGCCCCTTATCAGCTATACAAGAACTCAAGAAGTACTAATTCTTACCTAGTGACATCTTGTATTAAGAATATCTTCTCAAGTAAAACAAGACACTTCGTAATATCTTGAGCAGCATGAAGAGAATGACATGATCATATGGTGTAGATACCTCATTCATCTTCGTATTATTTGACAACTTAGACAACAGTTTTTGTTATTTCTGAATCAAATTGCAATTTTGAAATGTTCTAGAGCAGGCTTGAGACCATAATCCCGGCCTGAGTAGTACTGAGGGTTTTCCGGTGATTGGTCTATAGATTGGGGAGTTTCCGGTTACAGCAATTCCTGAATTGAGTGTTGGATTCTTAATTCTTGGCCCGAAGGAATATGGCACTGAAGTCGGCCAACCTTCTTTGACTGCACCCTGTGTAATTTATGGTTAGAACTTTGCCATCCTAATTTATGGTCTATTAAGGGGAGTAGAAATGAAAATATGGTTAGAACTTTGCCATCCGTTCAAAGATGTCATGATGCAAAGCTTATTACGGAGTGTTTATTTACAGAGTATTTAATATTATTATATTTCCTCTGTTTTTAAAAGTTTTTTGCATTATGACTGCGTATGTTTAACAATGCATTACTTCAACCATTACGTTTCTACAAAGAATACATTACCAATATTTTGAGTACCAACCTTTGAGTACGCTAAACTTAACTCTCATGCTACTTAGTCATACGACACAAAGTCATAAAGTAGCACAAAAATTAAATCTCCTCAAATTTAGGAACTTTCAAAGTCAACACCTTTCTCTTTCTTCCCTCCTTCCCTGTCTCCCATCTCTGTTTCCCATCTCAGGAGCTCCCCTGGCCATGAGCTCCAATGAAACAGAGGAGCTCATCACTCCACACCCGCCTTCGCCATCACCACTGCCATCGAAACCCAAACACCACCCTCGAAACCCAACCTCTCTTCTTCTTCAACCCTTTCAATGGCTCAAAATGCTCTCTACCACTCTCCACCCCACTTTCATCCTAGGCATCATTCTTGTCTACGGCCTCAACCTCGGCTTCTCCGACTCCTACTTCCGTGTTGTAACAGATTACTATTGGAAAGACGTACAAAAAATCAACCCTTCATCAGCTCAGTTCTACATTGGTTTCTACTTCATCCCTTGGATCTTAAGACCTCTCTGGGGGCTCCTTACTGATGTACTCCCTATAATGGGATATCGTCGTAGGCCGTATTTTGTTATTGCTGGTGTTGTTGGTGTTTCATCCGCGGTTCTTGTGACCATTGCAACGAAGTTGCCTGCTAGCTTGGCACTCCTTTGTTTCATTGGAGTTCATGGTGGTATGGCGATGGCAACCGCGACAATCGATGCTTGTACTGCTAAGAATAGTATAGAAGTGAAGGAATTAGCAGCTGATTTGCAGAGTCTTTGTGGATTTTGCCATTCTTTGGGAGCTTTGTTGGGGTATTCTACTAGTGGGTTTCTTGTTCATAAACTTGGAGCTCAGGTTTGTTTTCTTCATTCTTGTTTGATTAATTGCTGTTCAATTTTATTTTTATTTTTATTTTCGAATTTGCTCTCGTTTCGATAGTTGGTGGTGATTTTAAGGTTATATAAAATAAACGAGCAATTTTTTATCATACGATTCATACCGTCCATGTAAGGTTGGAATAAATTAATATTTTTGGTTTTAACCGACAATAATTTATACTTCGTATTATTAATGCCAATAATAATGATATTAAATAATTAATCGTATTAGTGCGAAGACAAAAACTAGGTCTCAATCTAATTTTACATAAATAAATGGTATGATCAGACTAATTATTGAAGCAAAATGACAAGGAAACTAATTCTTTTTTAACATCTGAAAGTTAAGAGTAGGAGTAGAATGAGGTAATACATAGAAAAAAAAACAACCACTCGGTATTTTGTTTATGTTGAACATTTCTAAGAAAAAAAGGTTATGTTTAGTTGTCACTTTGTGAATGTTATGTAGAGTTCCTAGAATGTAATAAGGCCGCAAAATCACATCTTAAGGCGAGATTAACATAGTTACTTCATGCAAAATAATTTGATTTAATTTCTGCGCTAAATGCAACTAATACAAGTGTGAGTATTATGTTTCCGATTCCACATTTTGAATGAGATAAGCTGAACAATTTTTACTTTATAACCTAAGTTACCGGGTTAATTATTCTATTATCAATTGGTTTTAGGATGGATCATTATGAGTTCATGACGAACTTTGTTAATATAATTTGTGTACTCTTACATATGTACTTTCAATTCAAAACTATAAATTATGATACTTCCTTTGTTTCTAAATAAGTGATGCGCCCATTCAAAAAAAAAAAAGTGATGCGCTCACTGTATAACAAATCATAGAGGATTGACTCAATTTTCACGTTAATTTGATGTTCAGTGCTGTAGTGCATGATCCTAACCATTGTCCTCAAACAGACAAACAACTGTAATTTTAGTTATCACAATCTACTCTAATACTTTGAACATTATGTTTACTGTTTGCCAAGAGCATTACATTATTGATACGTACTATACTTTCGCTTGCATTAAAATGAGTGAATACTCCTTAATTTTTTGGTTGATTGTGTTCATTATTAATTAATTTGCTCTGCAAATTCTCATTTTGTAGGGATCACTCGGGATTCTTACTATTGCACCAACAGCATTCCTACTTTTGGGATTCCTTATTTATGAGTTAAGATTTGCCAACTCAACCAGTCAAGGTTCTAAGAAGGTAAGTCCCGTCGTAAATTCGTATGTACATAGAGGATTTGTCCTTTTTTTTTAGGTTGGCAAGGAGAAGGATCCTACCAGGCTACAATAAACCTTTCATAGAGTCATAGGTTCACCCAGTCTAGGTTAACAGACTAGGTCTTTTGGGAGTGGGCAAGAAGGATAAATGGATCCCCACCACAAAGAGCCTCTAGCGAGGTTTGATCTCACAACCTTAGCTCGTGATTGTGAGGTGCAAACTTTTGCACTAGATTTAATTTGGTATATGTAAAGTATTAGCATTCATACAATAATCATTGTAACTTTGGTCCATGTTTTTGGGTGAATAATTGCATGATCATGTGTAATGCAGGTTGTAGAGAGGATAGGAGGCGCAATGGAGGATATGTATAGAACAATAAAGTTCCCTCAAGTGTGGAAGCCATCACTCTTCATGTTTCTATCTTTGGCCCTAAGTTATAGCACTCATGAAGGTCATTTTTATTGGTATACTGATCCTGTAGCTGGTCCCGGATTTTCCAAGGTTTTCAATTTCTCTATCCTTTTATATTTTTTTACATGCGCTTTATATGTGCACATATAATGTTTATCTCGGCGAGATTAAGTAAAATGACCTTAAATATAAAATGATGACTTCTCACCTGAATATGACCTATAAATCGAATTACCTTTGTCTAATCAATGATGTGATGCTTTTTACAAACCTAAATTTACATGGGCCATTGTGACAAATAGTCCATCTTTAGCTTGACACTATTTTTTATTGATTGTAGGAATTCGTAGGAATGATGTATGCAATCGGAGCTGTAGGCTCAATGATTGGTGTATTCATCTACCACAAATTCTTGAAAGACTTCTCACTTAGAGATCTCCTCTTCTATGCCCAACTCCTATACGTCGCATCTGGAATGTTGGATCTTATGTTCATTCTTAGATGGAATTTACCTCTTGGAATCCCTGATCCAGTCTTCATTATAGTGGAGGAAACTATCTATCACGTAATAGGTCGCATTCGATGGATGCCAATGGTAGTTTTGAGCACAAGGCTTTGCCCTTTAGGCATTGAGGGTACATTTTTTGCACTCCTAATGTGCATTGATAGTGTAGGCTCACTTTCTTCTAAAATGTTGGGAGGCATGGTGCTTCATTATTTGGATATTTCAAGAACTAATTTTAGTAATTTGTGGCTGGCAATTCTAGTAAGAAATTGCTTGAGATTTGGTACAATTGCTTTGATTTTTCTGGTACCAAATGCAACCCAACATGATGTTTTAGTTCCTTCAAACATTACTTCAAATAGGAATACAAGTACTAGGGTACAAGAAGCAACTTTGGAACTTGTACCTCTTAGTGAAAAATTAGACATTTGATTTACCAAAAATTTTGTTTTGTCCTATAGCTTAGGAGCGAGTAGATATTATGTACAAACTCTATTTTTTTTTTTTTGAAGTATGACACGTGTCGAATATGGAATTGTCCTTTTTTTTTTTAATTATAGGCGAATACATCACTGCATTATTTGGCGCCGTTCACTTCATTTTATTTTTGCTGAACTTAAATTATTTTTACTGAACTGAAATTAATTGTACTAAAGTGAAATTATTTTTGTTGAACTGAAATTAATTTTATTGAACTGAAATTAATTTTATTGAACTGAAATTAATTTTGCTGAACTGATATTATTTTTGCTGATTTTCTATTATATTTCTTCTTTATAGTTACTGAATTTTACTGAACTGAACTTATTATTACTGAACTGAAATTATTTTTACTGAACTGAACTTATTTTTACTGAATAGAAATTATTTTTACTGAACTGAACTTATTTTTTCTGAACTGAAATTATTTTTACTGAACTGAAATTATTTTTACTTAATATTTTTTTTTAAGGTGAAGTGAACAGGGTTTAGTTTTTATTGTTAAATATCAAATTCGGGATTGCCCATTTTATTATTATTATTATTAACATTAACAGACAAAGTCGTCCCGCCTACAAAAAAAATTAGTGGAAAGGCGAGATATAATCTGGGCCCCCACTCCTCTAGCTATAGCAAATCCTATCCTAGTGAAGATATGATCAGCAGCACGTACCGCAATGTCTTGATTGGGATTCGCTTCAGCAATGCCACCGCCTCCTTCTCTAATTCCCCAAGTGAAAGAAAGAGAAAGGAAAGAAGCCATACCAATTGTCCGGCAACTGGATTCGTAATTGACCCGCTTTCGATGAGCCGCATCAGCCACAGCCCGTCCAGGAACAAAGTCAGATAACCTAGACTGTGTCAAAGGAGAAGATCCTGTCAAGTCAACACAAACATCGCGACCGCGATCCCAGAAATATAGTAACACATCTGCATGTCTGAGGGCACCGTCGTTCCCACCAGACAACCCAATGTCAACCTCCTTTCGAGCTGAAATCCCAAATAGATAACAAACATCAACAAGGGTATCCCAAACAACATTATGCCGATGTTTAATACCCACCATACCAGCACACGACACCGCGTGATCACCGAAAATATCCCTAGTGAAAACCCTTGAACAAGCAGAGCACGACGTTGAGACAGAGAACAATGGAACACCCAAGCGGTAGCACAACACACATTGGTATTATTATCAATAATGATGTGGTTCAAGGATGCTATTATGGTTTATTGAAGTTATTGGAGATTTCTTAGAATTTTCGATGGTAAATTTTTGTTGAATGTTGATTTAATCTTTCTTGAAATAACATAGCTAATTGAGTCACTTTCTTTGAGTTTTTTTATTTAAACTTTTGCCTTAAAAGTATTTAATTAGAATTTGTTATATACATCCGGGTGTATTGTACACCCGGAGTTATTTGCTCATTTAATCAACAAATGAACAAATAATATTTTTACTCATTTATTGATTAAATGAGCAAATGACCCCAGGTGTACAGTACACCCGGATGTACATAATAGATTAATAGGCTCTCAAAAGTATTTGCCTTCAACTTTATGGGTTGTTTTACTTGTTTATTTTGATTACTCCATATTATTTGAGACTTTATGATGTAAAATCTATCAAATTTTAGTCTTGCAGATTAGTCATCTTGCATTCTCGCCCGAATTTCATATATTCCGCAATTGGCTAAGATTTAGGAGACGTGTGAATATTTTATTATCAAGCAAAAAATACGGGAAAATTCCTGGAAAAACGTTTGATTACTGGAATCCGGGTTGACATCAATGTTAGTTGGGATTTATTTAGATAAAATTCTGAATTTTACATTTAGTTTTATCTTGAGATGTACTCATGTACATACTATTTCCATAAAAGTATAAAACTACAAATTACAATAAGATTATTCCAATAAGATATTATGGAGTATAGCAAGCTATATACGACCCATTATCGTTCCCATCTTCAATCCTATTCTATACAAATTTCTTGTTTTCATGCGCTGAACTAATACTTATATACATTCTATTTGGATACTTGATTGCGCCTTGGAAACTGATTTTTCTTTACTCACATTATTATGCAGTTTTGTCCATTTAATTTCTAATTTTATCAAATTGTAGTGTCAGGGTTTTAAATCACTTGGCACATTATGATAAAATTTTGTTTCATACCTATGTTCCATAAAGATAAGGAAATTGATCGGTAAAATAGACACATTCTAGTTTTGAAAACATTCCACTGAACATGTGAAGTTTTTTTTGTATACCATTACAAAAAGAATGATTGAAGATTTGAAGGTGTCAAATATCTACAAAAGTATAATACAAAGAATCATTTAATATATTTAGTTTTCCCTACATTAATTACAAAGATTGAGAATTTGAGATGTATACTGTATATACACTTTGACTCTTTACAACATCGATCAATATGCATACTCCATATTGTCACTACCTATATCATCCTCCACATTGCTGTCTGTATCATGGATTCTGAAAGATGAGTTTGATTTTGATTCAGCTGTTAATGTTACCAATCTAACATAATGATCCAATGATCATGGCAACATTCATGTTAGTTAAAGCATCTAAGACACAAAAGGAATGATACAACGGGTGCTGAGTGTGAGTAGTAATGTCATCAAGCTAAGGTTGAAAATTGAGTATACAAGTTAATGAAATATTTGTATGATTATTGTTCAACAAAATTTAAAGTATCAACAAATGAACTATATATATTGTCATTGACCATGAATTCTTTTTCTTAATATTCGATAAATCATCCGATATTCATGAAAGAAAGGAAAAATGATTTTGTTTTCTTACTACTTTGTATTGTTGTCGATTGACAATGTCATAAACTTGGTGTTTCATTTCAACTTTGAACACAATTATCTAAAAACAAACAAAGTAGACAAGTAGTTCACAAACATTACTATTATATTAATCTTCCCTTGAAAAAAAAGTGCATCATTTTTCATTTTCGACTGTTTTTAAGTGCATTACTTCCTTTTTTTCGACTATAATGTTATTTATTTTTATTATTATTATTATTTTTTTATATAAAGTATATCTCTCCTCACAATCTCACATAGTCCTCTTTATATTATTTATTATATCCTCTCACATCTCTTAGTTTTTCATAAATTATCACCCATTATTACTTTTATGTAATTTTAATTCCCCAATAATTTCCAGTTGCATATAAAGTAATATTTAAATGGATGCACTTATAAAAAGCGGAGAAAGGCCCTGTTCTTTTGAGCTTCGGGTAGAGGTGATCATTGGGCGGACCGGGCCGAAACTAAAAAATTATGCCCACTTCTCGGGCCGGATTTTTTGAGCCCAAACCTCCCCAAAATGGTTGGGTCGTGCGGGCTTTTCGGGTCTGGCCTAGAAAAATCAACTAAATATGCATAAAAACGCATTCCTAAACCCGCCCAAATAAAAAATTCAGGCCGGGCCAGCGGTCCGGGCTAACTTTGATCACCTTTAGCTTTGGGACAGAACAGATTTCAGCAGAGCAAAGTATAACAAATTTCAGCAGATCAGGGCATATTAGATTTCAACAGGGCAGGGCAGAACAACTCAAAAGAATAGGGCCAAAGTATTGAATATGAAGAAGTCCCAGTTTAACATTATGATAAACAAAAATCGTTTATTTAGTAACATTTCTATAAATAACAACAGAAATCTCAATTAGCATAACATTTTCATAAATAGAATTAACATGTCCCACATATAAAAAAAAGTTGTTGATTTGCTTATGATAATAATACTGTAATACTGTATATATATATTTTTTTTAAAAAAAAATTAATTTTTTTTTATCATGCTGATAAACTTGTATTTTCCCTGATATGGATAATTAAATACTTGTGTGGACCTGGTTCATAATAATATAATTGTGGATCTGAGATTTATATACACACAGAACTAACGTTATTTGGAACATAGTGACCGTAATTTTAACATAGTATTCTTATTTTTTTAACATAGTAACCTTTATTAAAACTTGTTTGACTTTTAATGTTATTTCTGTTTACATCCCAAAAAATTAACCTATTATAACTTTTATAATGTCACAATGGCTTTTATTTCAACATAAAAACCTTTATTTTAATGTAGTGACTTTTTTTTATTAATAAAATAATCATAGTATCTCTAATGTTAGTGGTCTACAATAAATTTATGTTAACCAGTTCCATTTAAGAATTTGTAAATAACGAATTAAGATTGGAGAAGTTTCTTGTAATTTTCTTTTTTTAGGAGTTAATATTGTTTTTTTTTTTTTTTTTTTTTTTGAGGGAAAGAAGTTAATATTGTTGTTGTCATCTTATTTGCGGAATTTTGATTTGACAGGAGTCGCCGTAGACCGTGGGCACACTGCGAGTTTTCCTCTCACCTTTATTCTCTGCAACTTCTTCGAGCCACCCTCATTCTTCAACATGGTAGTGTCTCTCTCTTTGTCTCTCTTGCATCTTGCTTCACTTCTTAATTTGATTTTTGTTAGAAATGATTTATAGAGCTAGGGTTTCACCATGAATTTGAGGTTTAGTGTTGTTGTTGCTTCAAAATTTGATAGGATAACACGAAATTGAAGTTTTTGGGGATTATTGTTTGATGATTTTTTAGTCAAATTATTTGCTGACGTAGTGGAATTGCATGTAGTTGAAGTGACAATAAAGATTTTTTGAAACTGTTTGATTTTTGCAATTAATTTGGGAATTAGGGTTTTCACATATAATCAGTTTTGGACTACTTTACTTTGGCTGCTTACAGTGTAATGTGATTAAGCTGCTGTGTATGTAATTGATAATATGCTTATTTGTGATGTTGGCGGTAAAATTGAGTTGGTGGCGATAATTGAGCAATACTTTGGACTTCTGTAGTTTGCTTTCTTCTAGTGTTGTTTGAGCAAATTTAATTTTAGTTGCTGTTTATACATGTAATGATTGATGTGCTGCTATATGAAGTTGGTGGCGAAAATTCAGTTGGGTGTTGGGTGTGTGTGTGTGAGGTTTAATTTGGATTATCTCTACCATTCCTTTTAGTTGATTTAAGTCATTTGAGTTGTTATGTAAAACTTAGGTTGATATGTTAGTCAAGTGATTCTTTGCAATCAAAGAATAGAAAAGAATAATGGTTTACGTTCTTTTATTGCTTTGCTAATTGAGGCGTTGGTGTATAGAATTTAGCTCCACCTAGTAGAATTGTTGTTACTTGGAGTGTAATTGTAAGTATTTTTATTAAACGATTTTTTTTTTGATAAAGCTTGTTGAAATGGGTAACACTTGTATTAGACCTTTATTTGATTGACAGGTTTCTAATATAAAAAATAACTGCTTTGAATCCAAATGGAGAATTTCTTATTGAAATTTCCATTTCTAATTTTTCCTTTGATGAGATTTTGAAGTGAGTGTTTGCTTCTAATTGATTTCTACTAAAGCTAATTATTGGCTGGCTATACTTGTGTAATATTTTATTGTTTACATGTGTGAATGATGCTTTCTTGCCATAGACCTATTCATCTTAGATGCAATCTTAAAAATAAAAAAAAAAAAAAAAAAAATCTGGGATGCAATGTATGAACTTGTGTTTAGTCCAGCTATTTGATGCTTGTGTGCTCTTAAGCATGAGCTGACCTCATACTTATGTATTACAACAAACTCTTTTAGTCGATGAAATTGCTCGCTATCTAAGACATGTGCTTATGCTTTTTTAATCCACCAAGAAAAGAGAATCAACAAATGTCTGGAATACAGTATGATCTTGGGTTTGTGTTTTTTAGTGTTTCTAGGTCCTTATAAGAACTATATACTTATGACTCTGGTACTTCTATTGGAATTCCAAGTCCTCAATCATTCGAGTGATAAATTTACTTTTCAGCTTTCTTTTCGAATGGTTAGAGTGATCCAAAGTTGTTTGCAAAACCTAGGCAATGCCTTGTTGAAATTTAAAATTGTAGTGCAATTGTCCAATCAGTCTTGTTTTTTTGGCTCATATGTATATTGTAACCCATACTTTACTTATATATTCTAAAACCTGTTTTAACTGCCCCTTAGCTGGAAATGTTTATCCTAATTGCTAGATTATCTAGAAACAAGTGACTGACTCTACATGATCGACTTCTGGTGCTCCAGCACATAACCATGATTGTCATGAACCTAGATGATTCTTTAATTTTTTTTTTTTGTTGAACTTTCAATATGCTCATACTGAAAGTAAAGTGTGTAGGCATCTTCTGCAAGTCGATCGCAATGTGATATGGATTCATTGATTTCTAATCTATGGAGCCAATTCATCTTACATTTGCTGATTTAAATTGAATATATAGTTGATATTGATTCTTTAGCTCCCTACTTTTGAGCCTTGTCATTTCCTGACCCTTTGGGATGCTTACTGGAGCCATATTCATTTCTGCAGGACAATAGGCATACAATTATCCTAATGCAGACATCACAGAACAGATCAACTCGAACATTTATGGATTATGAGTCAATAAGTCAAGCAATGGATGGTAGGTTTTCAATTTTTGTTGCTTTTACAAAATTACAAAGTTTAGTATAGAAGTTTGGACCTTTTTTGTATGAGCTGTTTGATTATTGGTGGAGGAAGCTTTAGTAATTTCATGAGGATAAAACTTATGGTAAAGAATCATGCCTGAAAGATCTACAACTCTGTGCTGATCCATATCAACAAGCAGCAGAGGTCAACCTTATCATAATCTATTTAAACGTAGACTTGTGGAGTCTTTGCCGGACAAGCCACCTAAATAAAATTTAAAATTAAGTAGTAAAAGAATATGTTATTTTCGGTTATTTGTTAGTAATTGTTTGCTGCTACACTATAGCACTGATTATAAGTATATGATACTTTTTTTTCCCAACAACTGTAGTATCTTAATATACCTGTTGAGTGATTAGTCTGTAGCCCTGATTTTACTTATTTTTTTCTTTATTTATTTATTTATTTATCGTATTTGCTTATGCAGTCTTGCATGCTTTACGTGCAGGTATCTGTGCATTGTATGAAAGGAAGCTGAAGGAGATAAATCCAGCCCTCAGAAACATCAGTTATGACATTGGTGATTTATACAATTTCATCGATGGGCTTGCTGATTTGAGTGCATTGGTGTAGGTCCCTCCTAAAAATTGTTGATTAGCATTAGCTAATTATTACGATTTTCATCTTCTTTGATTTTCATGTTCCTATATGGTTGAAGGTTTTTGCCTGGCCTATCATATAGGGATATAGCTGGAATTTATCTTGCTCCTTATTTCCTTTAGACATGGAAAAGTAGAGGAACCACTTATCTAAGTCTGAAATCATTAAGATTTTGATACTCATTTCAAACATGAGTAATTTTGTTGTTAATTTGATTATCTGATTTTGCAAAATTTGTAGCATAATTTCATGTTAAGTGTTTGTTGCCCTAGTTTTCCTGGATTACTTCTGTTCTGTTCATGATTTTAATTCTCTCCTGGTTGCTTGATTGGTCTGATTATTGCTGTCTTTGTTTTGTTTCTGTAGTTATGAGCATTCCATTCAAGGTTACTTGCCGTATGATAGGCTGTGGATCAAGCAGAAGACACTCCAACGACTCAAAAAATTGGCACGATGAGTCAAGAAATGAACTGCAATTGATTTCTGGTGACTGAATCACTCTGCAGATTATATTTGCAGTAGAAGCCAATTTATCTGTAAGAACAGTGTTTATACAAAGTTCAGAAAGTAATCAAAGTATGTAATGTGAAATGTACTTATTAATCTTAGGATGTTGAATTAGATATGAAACTACAGTTAAGATGGCATAAGATCTAGTGATTTTTATAAATCCACCTGGCCGACTGTTTTTGATGTCATTTTTGGTATTAGCCTGTGATTGAATGAACCAAAAATATAATGAAAATCTAAAATCCTCCTATATGACTATATGTCTTGAAACTTGTGATTGCGATAACAAGATATACTACTCCACTTGGATTTTACATTGATTAGATAACAATTTAATTCAATATTTGGACATACCTCAACAAGATAATTTCAAAATCACATACAACTTACACTCTTCACAACTATGAGATCTTGGCCGAGTAACAAAGACCGAGAGCCTGCTATATACAATAGGCTATAGGTTCAAATCCTCCTCCCCTGTTTGTAATTTTTAATGCCCTTGTGGCTTGCACCAAAAGTACGCTCTTCAGTCTTCACTGAATTGGTTTTTTTGAGGAAAAGGAGAGAAGGCAATATTATTGCAAATTGAGTCCACCAAATTGTTCACTGACTTATTTGAGCGATTTCCATGGATAATGTGAGAAGAGAACAAAATTCCATAAATATGCTATATTTTAATAAAAATTTCCGATGTACCGTCCACGTCAACAAGTGTAATTATTAATTTTTTTTTTATTGCCAAATTTAAAACAAAACAGCTAATTGAATTAGCGGTTTCAAGTTTTTTTTTTTTTTTTTTTTTAAAAAAAAAAATCAAGTTTACAAAAGATGACGTGGACGGTACGCTGGGAATTTTATTAAAATGTAGCGTATTTATGGAATTTTATTCACTTCTAACATTATCTATGAAAATCGCTCGACTTATTTTTTGGAAACATTAACTTAATTGCCTTAATTATTTCCTGGCTATATTATTGCCTTCAGTTTCTTCCCATACACCAAAAACATGGATAACCTGAACATTAAAAGCTATAAACATGGATAACCTGCTAGTTATTGTTCGACCTAAAGCACAGATTCATCACAGAAGAATACAGTTCATTAGATGTCTCAATAAGTCCAAGAAATCTCATAATCATCCTCAAAAATCCACACAGAAGTGAGGTCGTGAACTGATTTATGAAAATGCTCGCTTGTATATCATTTTCTTTTTCACTAATCTTTACTCATGATACAAAAATCTGTTTGCAATCAATAAGTAACTCTTTCCGAAATTTCAATTACAATAGATTTCTTTCATTGCGAAAGAATTTGTAGAATGATTTCATAGGTATAAAAGAATCAAAATGCCGGTAACTAGTATTGCTAGAGAAGGAATACTAGAACCTATTTCACTCCAGCAATGGCACCGAAGATGAAATATAGAGTCCTGCTGCTCTGAAGCTAAGTTCCCTAAAACCAATACACGTATCTATCTAGACAGATTATCCCCTAAATCTCAACATAAAGGACTGCAAAATGTCATCTTCTATCAACACTGGTCATGAGAGATACTAGCTCAATTTTGCTATCATCCGGAGTTTCTGCAGATTCTGTACTTGAGGCTTTAGATGGAAGAATAGAAGAGGTAGGATCAGTCCTCGGTACTAAAAATATGACCAAGAGTGGAGAGATTCTAGCTATGTTACGGATCAAAATGGCAACCCAAAGATTGTCAAAACCTGTTCTTGTGATATTCAGAGAATGAAGTAAGATACCTCCGAACCATGACGAAGAGAACGTACCAATGTTACCAATTGACATGATTAGAGCAAAGAAGGTGCCTTCTATTCCTGAAGGGCAAAGCTTTGAACTGAGAACAAGAAGCGGCATCCATTTGAGCCTCCCAAGAAACTGGAATGCGCATTCATCGAGCACTGCAAAGATATGATCTGGTATGCCAAGTTTCAAGTTCAATCGTAAAACCAACATCAAATCAAGCATCCCTGAAAGACCTAATAAAAGCTGACTCCAGAAACATAGATCCCGAAATTGGTGATCTTTCAAAGCGTACTGGTATAATAGTGATCCCAGTATGGCACCAGCTGCACCAATGGAGAGAATATAGCCAACAAATTCCTGCAAAATTTGGGAGAAGGAAAGAAATATAATACTAAGCCTCTGTTCTTACCTTAACATAAAAATTGGAATTAAGTTTAGACAAGTTCACGTATCCAGAATATTGATATAAGGGCTACCGAGCTCAGTTTACAACTTCAATTAAATACCAATAGATCATATAAGGGGAATTCAGGTGAAAAGATTGAAGGCTAAAACTAAGGTATATATATAAAATAATAATAAAAAAAAAAAGTAACCAAAATCGCAAGGGATATTCTGCAAGAATAAAAAACAGCCACATCCAGTACTCACTTGAATGATGCCTAAGGTTCTTAACAGCAATATATCATTAGAGTAGGCATTTTATATAAAAATCAAAAGATATCTCTTTTTCTAATTTGTAAAGTCTACAGAGGTTGTACTAAAGACCTGAATTTAAATTATATTTTCATCAAATTACCCTTTAAACCGTACCCATTCATGAATATATATTGTGTATATGACCAAAAGCACAAGCAAGTGATTACCATATAGCCATATTCATAATCAATAATTAAATATTCCATCATACCTGAGAAAAATTCGGGCCTGCATCTGAATCAGTATACCAATAAAACATTCCATCATAGATATTGAGACTCATAGCATTGCTGAGGTACAGATATAGACATGGCCGCCACACATCTGGCAATTTCAGTGTGTCTGTCATGGCTTTGGTTGCATCAAGGAACTTCTGGCCAACCTGATTCAAAAAGAGATTACTACAATGTTTGCACTAATATGATACAAAAGCCTATTGGAGAAAGACGGAAAAGTGAGCTACCTGTTTGTAAGAGAAGTTCACCGTCTGAGGCTCTTGAAGTGTGATTCCCACCAGACATATAAGTGCTGCTGGGATTGCCAGCAATCCAAAGACCCCCTTTTGTTCAAATAGGGAAAATCTCACATGAAATCATGTATCAATCATGAAAGCATTTTGTTTTTTTCTATGTATGCAAAGAAAATATATCATTGAAGTAAGGAAATCCACCTGTGGGCCAATGAAGTGAACCAAGAGACCACTGAGAAAGAATCCCAGGAGTGATCCAATGGAAGAGCTCAAGGAACATAAACTTTGCATGTCTGGAGCAAGATGTTGATGCTTATTAGAGTTCTGTGCTACACATGCATCAACAGTTACATCTGCTATTGCTGCCCCTGTACTCCCTATTGTTAAAGACAGCACTGCGAAGAAGATATGCATCTGCTGGTGCAAAGATAAGTACAACATGGGCACTATACCAAGGATACCTGAAGCCAACACAGAAAAACCGGTTAAAGCATGCAGTGGAACATGTGATCACACACATACACTTGCATGTTGAGATTTGGGTGAAAAAGGGTGTTACGTACTTCCGTTGCAAGATATATTTAAGGAAGTCCCCTTTAGCTTAGTATATACCGTTCCAACAATAAGTGACTACTCGAAATCTAATCTGCTGGCACTAGCTAACCAGGCAACTTTGTATTGAATCAAAGAATCTGTAGTCATTTATTGCTCTTCATTGTTCTGAACTTCTAATTATATTATTTCATGCATCTAATATGCAACTTTTAGTCATTTGATGGGATGAAGTGTGATGTATGAAGAAAACTTTCTGCTAGTCTTCTCAAGATAAGATAGGTGCAGGACAACAGTAATTTACGGACTTGAAAGCATGAACAATAAAAATTAGGAGAAATATTTAAAATCAATCCCTGAGATTTTTGCAGCCATAAAATCATGTTTGATAGATAATCCAAAATTCCAGAAGAGACAAAGGAAACAAAGGTGGTTCTATTAGTTTTTCTTGGATTTGAAGAAAGGGGTAAATGCCCCTTTTCTCCCCAACCCCTGAATTTGAAAAGGCTGAAACTCTCTAAAGGAAGTCCCCTTTAGCTTAGTATATACCGTTCCAACAATAAGTGACTACTCGAAATCTAATCTGCTGGCACTAGCTAACCAGGCAACTTTGTATTGAATCAAAGAATCTGTAGTCATTTACTGCTCTTCATTGTTCTGAACTTCTAATTATATTATTTCATGCATCTAATATGCAACTTTTAGTCATTTGATGGGATGAAGTGTGATGTATGAAGAAAACTTTCTGCTAGTCTTCTCAAGATAAGATAGGTGCAGGACAACAGTAATTTACGGACTTGAAAGCATGAACAATAAAAATTAGGAGAAATATTTAAAATCAATCCCTGAGATTTTTGCAGCCATAAAATCATGTTTGATAGATAATCCAAAATTCCAGAAGAGACAAAGGAAACAAAGGTGGTTCTATTAGTTTTTCTTGGATTTGAAGAAAGGGGTAAATGCCCCTTTTCTCCCCAACCCCTGAATTTGAAAAGGCTGAAACTCTCTAAAGGTCAATTTTCAACTTTTGATTACAACAGATTACCATATGTCTCACCCGCTCAAAGAACGCTCAATGTTATATAGAAAGACCCTTAAAAGTTGTAAGCTAAGGGCCATAAGGCTACAAAAGCCTCTTTGCAATAGTGTGTGTATACGGTTACCTAATACATACATCCAATTTCTCCCCTAAACACACCCAAGGGGATTTAGCATCTATACTGGTATCTGGGTACTTGGAAACGAGAGAAGAAAGGTAAATATTTGTAGGCATTAGACATCAAACATGCATATGGATTACAGAATCCCATGATTCTCCCAAACAAACCAATAAATCCATGGTTAATGATCAGTCCTGTGACTCTGAAGGAAATCAAAGAGGTAAACCCTTGTCGTCGCAGCTACTAAAGCCGGCTAGAAGTGGAATAGTAATCTCTGAACAGATCAAAAAGCTCAATAATACTTTCAAGAAGCTTTGAGTTTCTACATAATGTATCATCCGGAGCACTTTTAGCAGTGTTTAGCATCTCTAAATGGATGATATCCTTAAAAATTAACACCCTCAAAGAATAAAAAGTCTACTACATGACAACTATCACAGTTCCACTTCAATTTAATTCTTCAGCTTTATGTTGGAGATTCCACTTTGTTGTCCATTTTACATTATAAAAATAGAAAAATTCCGCTTTGTTATCCACTTTCCTTTGTATAATATTTCACACATGCCTTCTTCAATCATCCTTAAAATCTAAGCTATTTCTTAACTAGGACCTCTCACACAAGCACGGCACCGCAAGTGGGGTGCAAGAAGTGGAATGTCTTGCTAAGCTAACGAAATTAAGAGATCAGGGAACTTTCTAACAGCTTCTAAAAGGTTGTTTTGTCCTTAGAGGAATCATCATTAATTCATTACTTTTCGGGATGTTGTTATCAAGTAAAAATAATATGGTGAAGTACTGCCTTCATAATCTACTACTCTGTCAAATATGATTTCTAACATCAAAACTTAGCTATATGCACACAGCACCTCCAGAAGAAACAACAAACAGCAAGTAATTGAACACTGAAACTTCATTACATAGTTGAAAAACCGATATTTAGTAGTCAATTTGACTATCACAATCAAAGCAGAAATATTAACCATATTCATATACACAACATATCAAGCCAAATAGCCATGCTTAAATTTGATCAGAATTTACCTGCAAATATGAAGTAAGGCCTTCTATGATACCCTAGAACAGGAACCACATCTGTCATTAGACCCCAAATGGGTTTAACCATCCAAGGAATTGCAGTAAACCCCTGATAAATCTGTGCCTCTGAAGGCTGCAATTTCTGCACATCCTTCATGTAATACTCGGTACCGACACGATTTAGGGCTCCACCCAAACCCTGACTAAATCCATACACAATCACCACCCCAAACACAAAACTCCAATGCATCTCTTTTGCAAGCATTTTGAGCCAATTCAATGGTCCCCATATATAATCCCAATACCCAAATTTGGACACATTTTTATCATCTTCTTCCTCCATTTCTTTCAACTTAGTTTCTGGGTTTTCTTCTTCAATCATGATTTTACTAACAAAATCTCAAATGTCAACACTAGTTAATCACCAACTAACTAACAGTGAAATTTTCTGAAACTAAAGATAAAAAAAAGTCAAACAAACATCTCACAAATCACAATCTGGGTGATAATTTCTTCATCACTTCAGCTCAGAAAATACACCAGCTAGCTCAAAAATCAGTGCTTTTTCATCTGGGTATTTAAAAATTGAGCATAATTAGCCAAATAAAAAAAAAAAAAAAAAAACAAACAAACAAACAAACAAAAAGGAAGCTCAAATAAATCTGAACTCAATAAATTCAAAGAAGATGAACTGACCAGTGAATAATTTGCGTCAATTTATTTATACCAACAAAAAATTTGAAATTTGGGATCTGAGCAAATGCATAATTCTTTTATTTAACTTTGAATTTATTTGACTTCAACTTTGATGCAGGTGAATATCCTCACATGGGTATTTTTTATTTTTATAAAATCATGGGTATTGCAAATGCAGTATATAATTTTATAAAGCTTTTGGTTTAGGATCATTTCATAATCAAACAAATTAAAATTAACAGCATTTAACGAAATTTAGAGTAGAAAAAGAACTTGATAGTAGTGGTTGAAGAGTCGCTTGATTTCAAGGTTTTGTGAGTTGACTAATTTAGGCCCACTTTTTTTTTTTTTTTTTTAATTACGTGCAATCTTTGAATATAAATCAACTTTGTGTGTTATTACCGTCTTAATGGCTAATCTTTTATTTTTTTATTTATTTTTTTATTTTTTAGAAAAACCAATTAGTGCTATTTATTAATTAATGGACAATTTGTTCGTAAAAACATACGAAGATACATCCGTAGGATAATGATTCTTCCACACTTGTTCAACACCAAAGCACACTAATCTAGCAAGGTAATGAGCGACCGAGTTCCCATCCTTTCTAACATGAGACCACGAGACAAAATCGAGGTCTTTACAAATAAAGAAAACATCCTCTAATATAGAATCTAAATCAGTGAAATAGGTAGCACATTATGAGAGTCCATCAACCACAATCTTGTTGTACAATTCAACAATGACCTTCTTGAAGCCGTATTGTTTCGCGAGCCTAACACCAAATGCTATAGCTTTACATTCCGCAATTTCAGGTGGCCATCTTCCTCGAGATCTACTAGAGTCCGAAATCTATTCTTTCATAATTTATTTTTATCATTTATATTCCCTACAAGTCTACGATCACGTACGAAGTACAAATTAACATAGTACAATGTAGTTACTCCCTTTATATTTTTTGAAATAAAAGTATAAAACTATTTGGCCTTTGCACTATTTACCTAATTTACTTTGATTAATGTTATTGATTCATAAAAAAAAAAAAAAAAAAAAAAAAAAAAAAAAATCTTCTGAACGTATAATTTATTACTCGTAATATTCAACTTTGTGTGTTAATGGCTAATCTAGTGTGTTAATACTAGTGTCCGAAATTTAATCTTTCTAAATTTATTTTTATCATTTATATTAACTACAAGTCTAAAATCACATGTTAATAAACATAGTACAAATGTACAATGAAGTTACTCCATATTTTTTTAAGTGAAATGTTTTAACTTTTTGCACTATTCACCTAATCCGATTTGGCTGATACTAGTGATTTATACATTAAAAAAAAAATCTTGTGGGTACTCATTAAAATTATCTCAATGTATAAATTATTAATATTCACTGTTATAATTTTTACTTATGAAAATTTTTAAATTACCATTCAAAAATGACACTTATTTCAAAATAACCGCCCGTTTAATTTTTTTATTTTATTTTATTTTACCACCCTTTAAATTAAAAAATTACTCAGATTCCCGCCCTTTCCTCACTCAAAGCTAGAAAGCTTTGTTCCTCAGTATACTTACTGGTCGGTGGTTTTTTTTACTGATTTTCCGTCCGTGGGATCCACCTCTATTTCCATTTTCCGCTGCATTAACCGCAAAACCTCTTTCCTGCTTCACTTTCTCCATTTTCCTTCTTACCTGAAACCACCATGGGAGGCCCCACCTCCATTTCCATCTTTTCGGTGGTTTTTCCTTCTCTTCTCCATTTTCCTGCTTCACTTTCTCTCTCCTCCTTCTTACCTGTAACCACCATGGGAGGTAGAGGAAGGAGCCACACTCAACGGAAACACTTCAAATCTGGAAAAATGGCTCCAAATCCGATGCCGCCGCCGCCAACGGTGAGAACAACCTTGGCGATTCTGAAAGAAAAAGCAGGGGAAATTGGGAGCCATTGAAGACGCCTAATTGTTGAAAACGCCCAATTGAATTTGTCCCAAGAACCCTAATTCCCAAATCTACCCCAATTATAGTGGAATTTGGTGAAGGAAATGTGAATTAAAGTTGGGAGAGCAGTTTTAAAGAGAAAAATCAGGGGAAAAATTAGTGAGGGTCAAGGTGGTGGTTAGTAGCCGTTAGGTGGGGTCCACAGACGGAAAACCCACCGGAATTTTGGAAAATGTATGAAATATGAGTAAATTTTTAATTTAAGGGGTGGTAAAATAAAAACATAAAAAGTGGTAATTTAAAAATTTCCCTTTTACTTATTAATAGTTAAAGATATTGTTGGCTAGCTTCTAGTTGGCTAGCTTCCAAATGCAATCATCTAACTATATGAGTCAAATGAGATGAATATCTCAGCATGAGCTTTATTTTTCCGTTAGCTAGCAATTAGTTTGGTGGTGGGCAAGAAAGAAGAGTTGGAATATTTTCATTCCCTTATATAAAAACAAACTTGTTAAATTGAGGGGTTTTTCTCTCCTTTCTCCTTCAATCCCTATCTTGATTCCTTTCCTTTGCACAAACCAAACGCCCCCTAAGTTCCATATTCATCATAGCGTGAGATTAAGTAACATTCACCTATTTCACTGGAGAAGTTAACGAGTCTCAATCTAATCTACATCAAGAACTCAAGTTGGTAAAAAATTATGGTACCTTTTAATGAACTTACATGACAGCTTTTGCACCCAAAGAACATACTGCCCAAGTAAGACCCAGAGTCCACAAATCTACATCAATTAAGCAAGGAGCAAGCATCATACTAGTATTAAGGTCACATAAACGAGTAGACTGTAACAGTATTAAGGTCATATAAACGAGTAGACTGTAACACAATGGGTTTCATTACACTAAGGAATTACGGAGTACATAGTTACCAACTTACCATTAAGTTATTTCCAAACCCCATAATTGATTAGATAGATATGAACAATAATACATGGGGGCAAAACAACATTCCGTAACTACTAGTAAAAGACTAAAGGAGGTCAGCCAATACATAATATATAACTAATTTCATCGCAACTTAATAAGAGTAACCAGCACGAGATGCCTTCAACATAGTTGTAACAGCCTTCAACTTAGTGTTGACAAACTTCAATTCCTTCTCAAGTATTTCCACTCGAAGCTGGAGAGGCATAGAGGTTTTCTTTATTTTCGGCGCAAAATGATCCTGCTTCGAGGACAATCCTACATGATCATTGCATGATTCATTGCTGGTGAGCACTCCTTGAGACACATCACAGTCCTTGAGACATTTTTGAATCCCCGTTCGATCTGCACATCAAAGTCCACAAGAATTTGAGATGAATATAAACGTCTAGACTCCAATTACATCGTTTTATGAAGACTCCAAGTACATGATAAAATCAAGACTCTAAGTTGAAGGCTTCAACAAAGTGGAACATATTCCTGTAGGGTAACCTTATCATTCATGTTGACCAAATTTATGTAAGATTGATATTAGAGTGGAATCAAGTATAGGGCGTAATGACTGATAGCTTTATATATAAGCCGGGTCTTTTGTAACTGATTCGACTTTATCGATTTCTGGGGGTGCAACAAGCCACAACTAAAAGTAGAGAAACACACTTGAAGAAATATAAGGGTATTCCAAGCATAAGTACAACTACAAGTCTATATTATTAGGAACAGAGACCATAGCAAGAGTTGATCTCATCATCATCCCAGTAGAAACCCGTAGTCACCGCGGCGACACGGATGATTGGAGGTGAACATCTTCTAATAACATATCATGATATCATTACCGATGATATCAAAGACCCTGTCAAGGGTAGTAGTAATTATTTTGAGGAGAGAAAGAGAGGGTGTAGAATTTATCAACGTAAATGCTTAATCCTCATTCATGACTTTCAAACCATATATAAAGCTAACCCTCACATGATAGGATTAGGAAACTATCAAAAGATATCAATAAGTACCAAAAAGATGCTAACAAATATATCATAAGCTTTCCGAAAATATATCCTCAATAGAGGGTCTGTTGCCTTTTCAGTAAAAAGATTCGGTAGGAGTAAAACAATGACGTGGGATGCAAGGCAAAATGGCAAATTATACGGACTATGGAGTACTCCGTTTTCAGTTTTCACGGTGTTCAATATACGTCTTAAAATATACTCTTACTCCGTATATATCTACAATTATATACTCATAAAATTATAAAAAAGTTTAATTAAACGTTGTAATAAATCTAACAACATTTCACGTAAATATATTATTTCTTACAAATACTTCATATATATTAGTGAGGATTTGTGAAAAACATAATATAGGGAAAACAAATAAGAATAGAGGGACCCCTCCCCCTTGCTCTACTTCCCCTCTCGCCTCACCCTATCTCTTTCTCATCGCTTGAAACGTTGCAATCACCCCGCTCCGACACGCTCCGGCAGGGAAGGGGGTAGCCATGGGGGAGGGGGGGCTGGTTCAGGCGGGATCGGGGAAGGGGATGGCTGATTTTTTTTATTATTATTAAAAAAAGGACCAATTAGAAGGAGACACGTGGCAAGTCAATTTAGAAAACCGGTCAAGTGACTGTTTTGAGCAGATGTGTATCAAAGGTGGAATTATTCTTTTCTTAATTTTTCCTTTTTTAAAATAATAAATAAATACATTCCAATTATAATAATTTTGTGGTTCCATATAAATATATATATTTTGGTAAGGAGAAGGAACTTATTGAACCAATACCTCTCAAATGTTAGTCAGCCCAGCTACACAGGTCATCGCTTGAGTGCAGAGTTATAGGTAATGGAATACCCTATTCCATGTGGATGATATGAAAGTGAAAATTTTATAAACAGTACTACATTTAGAATACGTATTGTATTAATATACTTTCTCTGTTATTTTTTTAGATGCATCATTTTTAAAATCACGGACTCCTAGGCGATTTTTGAAAATGAGAAAGATAGTAGAGACAAACAAAAAAGAGGACACATGTAATATGAGAGATAGAGAGAATTTATTAACTAAAAAAGAAAGTGATGGATATAAATTGAAACTTTCATATATAGAAAATGATGCATGTAAAAAGAAACGGAAGAAGTATAAGGGATTAAATTTGATATATGAATAAAACCTATAAAAGTTCTATGATACAAGTATAATATAATAAGCTAAGAGGAGAGTTATTAAACATGATATCACCAATTGAGGTGCGCTTATTATTTTATATTAAGGTTCAAACGATTTTATTACTTATATATCACCCTTCTAGTCACATATTACAAAATTTGTAAACTCCTTATCATCTACTCATATCCAATTTTAAGAAATGTTGAGAATCCTTCAAAAACATGTTGAGAAAAAAAACAGATGAGGGGATGAGATAAATTTTTTTTTTTAAAAAAAAAAAAAAAAAAAAAATTGAATGTAAATGTGAGAAAGGGAGATAAATGGATTTATTAATATAATGGATAATAAGTGTTAATTATGACTTGAAATCTAATACAATGGCGAAGGGTCAACTTCAAACGCACATATCTCTCAATCCAGAAGTGATCTTGAGGTTATTCAAGTTTAAGATTATAGCTTGTTTCAAGATCTTTTCAAGGATAGGTCATTCTCAATTCTAATAAGAAACGAGAAAGTTATAGCCGTTTTACGAAAGAATGTCGAAACTGGAATTTCTTGACGCGCACCCAGCAGCACGCCCATGCCTAAATCCAGCACGCCCGTGCTTCTTCGAGGATTAGCCAAGCGTGTTTTGTTTGTAACTTCATTGAGAGATTTTGTGTGAGATTGAGAGTGTTGTATCTCCTTTGTTATCTCTCTTGTTTATCCTTCATAAAAGCTAATAAGAATATACTATTCCTTATCTTGTGGACGTAGGTCTTGTTAACCGAACCACGTATATCTGTGTGTTCATCTCATCTATTTTTCTACTTTATTTCTCAAATTTACGTTTTATATATTGTTGTCTATGTTCCACGCTTATTAAATACATAACCTAATTCAATCGATCCTTGTCTATTTCCTAACAATAAGACTTTCTTTTTTTTGTTTTTTTTTTTTTTTAAAAAAAAAAAAGTATTTCCTGTATTTCTTGTTTACTGTTTTGGGTAGTTGTTATTTTATTTTTATTTCTTTGAACCGTGGAGATTGGAGAGAAAGATGGATGAGGTTATACACATACACATGAGGGGGGTTTTTGCAGGTATTTCTGTCAAGTGAAAATTTGTAACCATGAAAAGGGTGTTCACTTGCAAATCAAATATTTAAGTCTCACATGCAAGTGGAGCAGGAATCGAATTTGTTAATTGTTATATGCACCCGTGTGCACCACACACCCAAGGTTAGTTTTTACTCTCATTTGATAATTAAATGAAAAACAATCATCAAAATGAGAACCAAATAATCATGGGTGTAAGATGCACCCGGGTGTATATATAATTAACCATCTCTCTGAGGAGGAAGATTTGAAGGGGTGGAAGTGCGGGTGTTAAGCTTAAGCACGCTAAGAGTCTTTTTATTAGTGATTAAGTATTTTTGGTGATTTATGAACATCTTGTTTGTATGCTGTTATTGTGGTGTTTCATTTTGCTGAATTATGAACATCTTATATTTGCATGCTGTTATTCTACTCGTTCACGCAAACCTTAACTGGTTTGATGCATGCTTCATGGTCTATTAGACCTTTCAGTGGCGCTCTAATATCCATTCAAATGTTTCATGTTACAAATACTATGTAGGAAATGATTGGACGCAACTTTGATTGGTACTAATTTAGATACTACATCTGAGACAAAGAGTTCTTGACCTTAAGTTGTAGTTTCTAACTCTGAGTTGCTTTGTTAACTGCTCAATGATTTGAATGTATATACTTCTGCATCTAAAAGCTCGGTGCAACCTTTTAACATTGAAATGTCCACTTCACTGGACAACATATAACAAAATAAAACAAGTGAAGAGCTATAGTGTGAATGTTGAATTGTCCACTTCACTCGACATGCAGCCACTAAGTCGGCCACGTAATGTCGTGCTAAGCTATAAGTAAATGAATTTAAGGCGAAAAGGATGGAATTAAACTCTAACTAGTGTGTGATTCGGGCTAATAAATATTATTTAAGCTATATAATATAAACTATATGATGATTAAAATAAAAGTGAATAATAATAACTATGAAACTAAACAAGGGCTCTCAAATTGATGTTTAATCCAAAGTATTTAGTTTATTATAATTGAATATGAAACATAATTAAAATATAGCAAAGATGGTAACAACATCAATTGATTTCTTGTTGGTATTGGGTCTGCTTCTCCTTTTACGGTTCTGGGTTTTATGTGTTTTGATTTGTGTTTAGATCTACTATGGTTTCTCCAAATTCCAATTTCACCATTTCAAGGTAAGCTCTAACCCTAATTTTTTATTCTTAATAAAATCATAATTGTGGCCATTGTGTTGTTCGAGTATGGTGGGCTAATTTTGGGTGGTTTTCGAGTGGGTTTGAGGGGCTAATTTTGGGTAGGTTTCGAGTGGATATGGGGGGAGGGGGGGGCTAATTTCAGGTTTGTTTCGAGTGGGTGTGGGGGTTGAATTATTGCGGTGGTGGAATTTCATGCATGTGTTATTGGATTGATTTTTAATGGATTTACTTGTGAATTTGTTCTATGTTTGAGTGATTTTTGCGAATTGAGGTTAATTGGAAGAAATTAAGGGTTTCCTGATTTCTCGAGGCTGTTTGTGGAATTTTGGGGGAATTAGAGATGGATAGGGTTGCGGTGGTGGTTTCGTGGGTGATGTGTTTCTTGGATTATTGTATGTTCTTGCTGCGGTATGGTGTTACGGTGTTTTTTTGCTGTAATTTTTTGTTGCTGTGTTTGGTGCTGTGTCTTCTGGTGCCTCTGATGTGTGCTCGGTGATGCTGCTGCGTGTTGCTTGTTTTGCTGCGTTTTTGTTGCAGCATCGTTTCTTCTTTCTGTGGTGTATCTGTGGCCCGCTACTTGTGTATGTGTGGGCGGTAAAATTGCTATTCGATACTCCGCTTTCTTCTGTTATTTATTTCAGAGTTGAGGATGGGTGATGAATGTATTATATTTTATGTAAGGCTAGATTGTTTCTTGTCTTTGAATGTGGCTTATGCGTTGTTATGCATGGTCCAAGTTGGAAACTTAATGACTTGGTGATTTCTGTGTTATGCATTGTTATGCATGGTCCAAGTCCCTTCTGTCATAGATTCATAGGTGGCATTGCCTTATTATTTTGATGCTGCCTTGTGCTATTTTGTGTTGAAAACAAGTCATTAATGTTCATACTGTTACTTGTATTTTTATTAAAAAGGTCTAACATAGTTAACACAAGTCATTTCTTTGGTTGCAGCTGTGTGATGGGTCCATTGTCGCATTCAAAGTTCTTCACAATGTGAATTGCAATCATGGATTTATATACGTGACCTCATAGGTTATATCCTCACATTTGGCACATTAGTTGGTAATCCTAACTTTTGTGGCACTTGACTGATATTACTTTTTCACTTCTATGTGATAGGGTTTGCTTAAAATTTGCCAGCTGCCATCTGGACTAAGTTACGACAATTACTGGCCCATGCAGAAAGTAACAGTTATCCTCTTTTTTTTTTTTTTTTTTTTTTTTTTTTTTTTTTTTTTTTTTTTTTACAACTCAGAAGTTTGTATGTTATAATGCATAAAATTATTTATTATATCTATGAGCTAGCTTGATTTTTTTTTTTTGTTAGATTCCATTGAAGGGCACTCCCCATCAAGTCACCTACTTTGCTGATAAGAATTTATACCCACTTATTGTTTCGTTTCCTGTGAGTTCCTGTAACCTTTGTTCTTTCATGAGTATTAAAGCTTTTGCTTGTTAGAAATTTGTTGGTTGAAGAGTCGGTAGCTTAAATGTTCCATATTGTAACTTTGTTGATTAAGCATCAATTTATTGATAATCCTTGGTTCATTCCCCTCATTTGTGTATGTTGCACTTATTTTTGCTTTCAGTATTGGCGAGTCTGTTAGTCAGTGCCTTGCATAGCACATGCTTTAATCCAGCAGATAAACCATAAATCGATAACTTCTAGCTGTAAGTGAGCGGGAACATCTTGATAGGTTAAATCAAAACAGTCCCTTCTGTCATAGATTCATATATAGGTGGCATTGCCTTAGTATTTTGATGCTGCCTTGTGCTATTTTGTGTTGAAAACAAGTCTGGCATTGTACTAATATGCTTCTTTCCTTCCTATTTTCTACTGCTTTCTTCTCAATGTACTTTGATAGGTGAATTATAATCTGAAAGGTGCTTCTAATATATGTCATGCAACATGATTCTATGCTGCAAAATTCGTTTTACTGTCACTGTCTATGATTCTAATACATCTATGTGGAGAAGCTCAAGTACTGTGACTGTCTGGGTAATGACAAGGTAATTCGTTTTTCTGCTTGATTTTATGTTCAGTGATTGATAATTGTAATAGTGATAGATTATAAAATGGTGAGCATACCATGGCATTATCACCTTATCAAGTTGTCTGTTCCGAAGACATCTCCTTCAAATTTGGTATTCATAGTGTCTGAACTTGTTGCATCTGTGTCTTTCTAGAGGAAGTGGTAATAGTGATAGATTATAAATTGGTGCAGCCTAAATGGTATGACAGGCTTTTGGTTCTCGCTGTGTAGGGAGTTTTCTTCAACTGTTATGTTGTACTCTATTTGCTTTCCCCTAAGCTGGCTCACAGAGTGGTTGGTTACTTGGAAGAAGAGGCAATACATTCATACACAGAGTATCTGAAGGACATAGACAGTGGTGCGATTGAAAATGTGCACGCTCCTGCTACTGCCATTGACTACTGGAGGCTGCCAAAGAATGCTATTTTGAAGGATGTTATAACTGTAATCCGTGCTGACGAAGCTCACCATCGTGATGTCAACCATTTTGCTTCTTTGAGTACCGAAATTATTACTTGTTTTACTGATCCATGGGCCTGCTAATGAACTGTCTTCCTGTCTTTTATCAGATAATTTTGCATTTAGACATCTGCCTTCTGTCACCTGATCAGCTATGGCAGTATTCTGTTATCAACTTACCATATAACTCTTTAATTGGTGTTGAACTGATGAAGTATATGTTTTCGCCATGCAGGATGTGCACTTTCAGGGCAGGCAACTGAAGAAGCACCGACTCCTGTTGGTTATCATTAGAGCAATACATAAGTCTGCATATTGCCACGTATATGAGCTCCTAAAGGATACAGGCGCGTAAATCCTTGCAAAGCTTCTTAAATACAGAGTGATTGCTTATTAGAAATCATAATTAGATTAACACCCTTTACAAGTCTCATTTTTATATTTTTTGGTCCGGTTGATCTGTTTAGTTGTGTTTGTGCGATGCATTTGTTACTCCTGTGGGTTTGTAATAAGTATAGGCGTGCGCAATTCTTGAGTTTATATACATACATATGAAAAGAGGATCAAAATTGTAATTTTTACGGCCTTTTTTTAATGAAAATATGTAACTTTATATATATATTTGTGTTTGTATATCACTTTAAGTGAAAAAAATGCAAAAAAACAATTTTTTATTTTTTTTATTTTTTTTGGGGCATTTTTGGCACCGGTTTTGAAACAGAACCGGTGCTAAAAGTTTTATTTTTTATTTTTTGGGCCATTATTCGCACCGATTCACAGCAAGAACCGGTGCGAAAAACCCCCATTTAGCACCGGTTTTGAACCGGTGCGAAAACTTCTGGTTTTTGGCATCCCTCAAATCTGGACAGGTGCTAAATGGGGGTTTTGAACCGGTGCTAATTTACATTTTTCGCCTAGTGTAAGTATGCTGGAATTTATTTAAGTCATAAAAATTAGGTCTTTTTGAAAGGATTTGAAGTACCCACTTACAGAAAAGGTTTTATGGCTTTTATGTCATGTCATTAAATTGGATTAATTAGTAAGGTTTAAAGAGTATTATAGTTGCTAGAAATTTGTGAGAATAGTGGATTAATTATAGTTATGTATTCTTATTTGTAGGAAGTTTCGAGCTAGGTGATTTCTAGCGAGTGTGGCCGAGTTTAGGCATTATTCAAGGTACGTATGTGCACAAGAATATTGTGTATGCGTAGCATCATGCTAGGATTTGTAAAGTATGATTTAAGTGATGAATTAGTAGCATGTTTGGTTGATTATATGCTTGGAATTGATGTTGGTTGAGCATGAATTGCTATGCAAGCATGTGAATATGTTATTTGAGGCATGATACTAGTTGTGTATGTATGAATCATGGAAGTATGTTTATTTTCAAGTATCATCAAGAAGACATGTATTTAATAAGCAAGACTTATATATGAATTAAAGAGCTAAAGTTAGAATTATTGAGCATTATTCATGAATTTATTTCTCACCCATTTATTATTGGTGTTGAGTCCTTCACTTCTATCCTCTTCTTAATTCTTGTACCTGTTCAACCTCCCATTGTCTCTTCCATTTCATCTCAAAGCATTATCCATGAGATCTTGTAAATATTCAGATCGCGTTTGATGATAAAATGATCAAATCTTCAATTTGACATACAAACACTAGAGGCAATCAACTACGTACCATCATGAACGATGCATGAAACAGGGTGAGGGTGGGTAACAAACTAACAACCCATAAAAGAAAAATAAACTTTTGACTTTTTAAAGAAAATAACTAAGAGGTAGAAGAGTAGAGTTCTAACTACTAAGATTATCACAAAATTAATATCACTTGATGCAGCAGGTTGACCTTCGTTTGCCTACAGAGAAGCAAAGGTATTCAAGCTTCAACACAGAATAATGTCTCAAATCAGTATATCACTGTATCTCAAGAAGCCAACTTTTGGTAAATAGCAGTTAGCTTAACACTTTAGCAGTTACCCAAGCAAACAAACAAGACGTAGGAACAGCATTGCCACAGTAACTGGAACATCATAACAAGTCAAGTCAGGCGAAATATATTCCAAAGTCAACATACATATACAGTAGTTAAGCTAATCATTCCAGAAACCAAAATCATAATAAGACAACAGCAGGCAGCGGTCTTCCCTGGGATTAGAAGGGGTAATAGGTACAGACACCATTGTAATACCCCGTATTTTTAAAGTATTTTATTAATTATTTGTTTATTTATAAAATATATTTTGGGCCAGACTTATTTCAACTATTGAATATAGATAAAAACAAGTTTTAAAACTTTGAGGGTCAAAGAATTTATAATAGTTGACTCTAAAGGGTTGTATACTTGTATGTAAAATAATTACATACACTATTTAAAGATAGCTCATGTCCATTTAATTAGCCCAACAATGTTATTTATATATTTGGGCCTCATACCTGGCCTTGTCACTCAAGTTTATCATTTTTTTTAAGCCCAAAATTTACCCTAATCTATTCTACACTATAAATACTCCATGTATTCCCAAAATTTGCCACACAAAAAGTCAAATGGTCAAAGTAGACTATTTTCTCTTTCTTTTTCTTTTTTCTTTCTTTCTCCTTTTCCTTCTTTCTTTTACCTTTCCTTTCTTTTTTTTTCACTTATGCGTGAGTTTTACGCAGCTCACTTGCTGCAGCCCCCATGGTGGCAGAGGCGGATCTACATAGTAACAAGGGGACCCCTAGAAATAGGTATAAATTATTTTAATTTGCATAGAGTATATATTAACTCTTTGTTGCAGTGGTAAAAGACCTTTTGGCTAAACTTTTAGTTGTAAGGGTTCGAACCCCTCCTCCAACATTTTAAGTTTTAACCCATCCTTTATCTTTGCTCCAAATCACTTTTTCCCTTGGATTATATTTCTTTCATAAAAAAAAGCATTACTAAGATTTAAGAAATTTAAATTTCTTTATTACCTTTTTTTTTTTTTTTTTTTTTTTTTGAAACAAAAATTTCTTCATTACTCTTATGGACAGTTTGATTGGAGGTATTCATCAAATGGAATAGGAATCAATTGTCTTGATTCCCTTTGTTGTTGTTTGTTTGGCATTTTTTCCCATTCCCTTTACCTTCTCCATTACCCCAAATCCTTCCAACTTTATTCCCCACCCCCCCCCCGGGTTTTTCCATTCCCTTTCCTTAGCCACCACAACACCACCATATCCAAACCAGCCACCACCATCCTACCCTATCCCCACCACCCAGCCACCATCGCCGCACCTCCACCGTCCCTTGCTGGAGCTCCCCCGCCCATTGCCGGAGCTCCCCCGTCTCTCGCTGGAGATCCCCTCCCCCAAAAAACTCCCCCACTCCCGTAAAAACCCTAAAAACTCAACCCCTTCCTCGTAAAAAAGTCGGCCGACCTTCCTCCCACCCTCGAAACCCTAGCTGCTAGGGTGGTTTGTCGGCAAGAGGAGTATCAGTTTCAGGCGAGGGATGGGATGGGTTACGGGTTTCAGCCAAAGGGGTTGGAGATGGGTTACGGGTTTCAGGTGGGATAGGGGATGCGAGTTTCCGGCGATGGTCGAAGTGGAGAAAGAGTCGGGCCGGGGTAGGGGCTAGGGGTCGGTTTAGAGTCGCCGGCGATTGGGAAGTTGTGCCGTGCGCCGGTTGCGAAGGGGAAGGAAAAAAAGGTGGTTGACCGGTGAAAGTGGTGGTGTTATTGGCTGGTTGATGGAATGGTGGTATGGTGGTTGGAGAAGGTAGATAATAGGTCTTGTGTGATGGTGGAAGTGGTAGCTTGTTTCCCTTAGTTATTCAAAACAAACAACATAGCAAAATTGGGGGTTTTTCCATTCCATTCCGATTCTTTCCCTTTGTTCATTCCATTCTGATTACCCCGTGCGAACCAAACGACCCCTTAATAAATAATGATTCTTTTTCTTCGTTTTTACAAATTATTTTAATGAGTATGGAATATTTTGTTAACTTAATGATAAACTAGATATAGTTCAAAACTACTAGTTTTACTCCATAATTAAAAAAAATAAAATAAAAAAAAATTGTACACAAAATACTCCATACTACAGTAGTACTTTGCAGTTTTTTTTTTTTTTTTTGAATTAGTTCCCAATCAAATGTATGAATATCCAAAAACCAATTGTTAATTAATACAACAATGTACTAACACAAGCCGTTATTATGTTAACCATTTTTTGCGAATATTTCTGATATGACCACCTAAAGCAAAGTCCAGTTTTTCAATTATTCAATATTTTTTCGGATTTAAATTGCTTAAACAATTACATTCTACCCCTGATTGGAAATTCTAGATCCGCCACTGCACGCTGATGCCATGTCACCCCACCGCCACTGCTTTCGGCCACGACTGACCACCGCCGCTGTCGCCGGCGAGCCCAACCAGCCACGCATCACCTCTCCTTCTCTCCTCTCTCCTCTTTTATTTAAACTGTTATTTATATTGATCATATTCATGGGTTTTTTTTTTTTATTTTATTGTTTAAAACATGTTTAATTAGTATCAAAAATCATATTTTTTTTTAGTAATATAAGTATAATTTCAGATTTTAGTAGGGGGTTAATTTTCAGATTTTCAAAGATTATAAAGTTAGGGTTTTGAAATTATTAAAGATATGATTTTTAGGATTATTACACAAATTGATTTGGGACTTTTGAGTACTCAGTGTTTCTAATTGAAAAATGAGTATAAAAGTATATTTGATGAAGTTTTAAGGGGTTTTTGAGTAGTTTATATTGCTGAAAATTTGCCCTAAATATTACTTTTGATTATTTTATAAAAAGGGTGTAATTATCCATTAAAGAGAGGTTTGATTAAGGATTTTAAAATAATTTTCTGATTGTTTTGAGTGATTTAAAGTGAGTTTAAGTTGTTGGAAATTGTGTATACAAGGGTAATAATGTAGTTATTGTCCCTCTATGTAGGAGACTTTGTTCGGGAAGTGTTCTAGAGTGTATGACTATTTTGGTAGCGTTTCAAGGTACGTACGTGTACTCGGAATTTAATAGGCATGTAGAATCATGCTAGGATTTATTTTGATTAATTCCAAACTAATATTATGCTAGGAATTGGTTGGAATTGTTGGATTGAATTGATTTTGTGGAATTGAATTTGATTTGATGTTTTGGTTTATGAGGCATGATTATTTGAAATGAATTATTATTGGAATTGGTGGTGTTTGAATATTGAATATGGACTACACTTTTATCATTGGCATAATTAAGAGCATGTTTAATCATATAAATGTTTAATTGAGTTTGGAACATTGAAAGGGAATATTATTATGGTTCATATAATTTTTATTGATGATTTAAGCATGGGGAATTGAGCTATTTAAGTGTCTAAGTACACAAGGATTAAATTATATTCCGATGCCTATGTTCACTTAAGGTGTTTTATATACCGAGGGATAGAATTTGTGGTGCTTTATGCGCTTAAGGTGTTTCTACACCGAGATAGTTTAAAAAGGGTTCAACATTAAATTAAATGTGGTCACTAAGTATTCAAGAATTAAATTGAAATGTTTGATTGCTTGAATGATTCATGTTGGTTGATTATTATATTGGTTATGAGACATCACCAAGTCCAAAATATGTAAATAACGTAAAGTGAAAGAGGTTACGCACCAAAACTCTTGGAACGTATATACCTTGAGTATGAACATATGAGGGGAGTTATGAGGTTTTATATATAACCATAACTTTTAGTGGGAGTACAGGACATTGTACTTTCCTTTTTATATGCGTAGGAATTCCGCCACTTACTAGTGGTTCTTTTTATACTGACACGGTTATCTCCCGTATTAGTACCCTTTTAATGGGGTAGGTTTAGGGGGAAACCTGTTCGATGCGTAATCAAAATAAATAAATGGTCTTGTGTTTATGGCTATTGGTTGTGTGTTGAACTCAAGGCGAAAGGTAAGTTAAATGGTGCTAGGTTGTGTTTATGTTAATGTGTTTTCTTTTACGCTTATGTACTCAGCATTGCTGATTGTTGTGTTTGTGTGTGTGTTTGGCTTTGTCTTTATCTCCCTACGACGACCCATTTCTTATGGTGAGTAGTAGGGGCAGATTAAAGAGAACCTTTTCAGGTGATGCAGCATATTCATGTTGGGGTTTGAGCGAAGAGCGAATCTTATTCTACTTCTATTTCGAATATGTGTTTATTATTGATTATTGGATTATTATTATTGTTTGACGAGACTAAAACATTGGTTTTAAATATTCGTTTGGTTTTGAAAGAGCCTACAATGGTTCCAAGTTGTAGGTTTGTCTTGGTTTGACTTTGGTTTGAATTTACTCTCTTTGGTTTGACTTTTGAACTTGGTTTGTTTTGATGAAAATAGTTTTCCGTTGTGTGTCTTTGATAAATGCCTTAGTCGTGCCAAGGGCCGCCATGTGCCAAAAATCGGGCCAGCACGGTGGGCACGTGTCGTGCCGTGCCTATTTTCTAGCTGGTTGGCTTGTACACAACACGACCCATGGCATGCCGAGCGACCAGCGTGTCGCGCCGTGCCGCCCGCAGGCTGGCACGTCCCATGCCCAGCTTTAATTGTTGACCATAAATTTTGAATTTAGAACAACTTACAAGTTTAGGCTTTAATATCTACGACTAGGAATTTTGTAAAGCTAACCGTTAAGGTTACGTTTACTTCACCTTAAGAATTTAATATCTAGTTTAAATATGTTCAATTTAGTAAAAATAAATAATTTAAAAAATATATATATAATAGAGAATCAGTAAAATCAATTTTAGTTTAGTATAAATAATTTCAATTCAACAAAAATAAGGTGAATGAAACAAGATCTTATATGACGTACGGAGTAGGTGATTAATACTTGTACAATACATTCCGTATAATTTTTATCAATTCTAGCAAAATAATACAAGTAGAGTACTAAATACGAGTAGATGTTTTGGGAATTAAAAGGTGATACTCCGTACTAGTTATTAGTGCATTGAGTTGTTCTATAACTTCTACTTATGAAATACTTTGTATGTAGTTATGTACTTTGTGATAATCATTTATTTATTGGAAAAATTGCTTTAAATAATACGACCTTTAGCCCGTCCGTTAAAAACAAGTCCACCTTTTGATTATCCCAGAATAATACCACCTTTAGGGGGTGTCCGCTTTAAACAGGTTATTTTACCTACAACCTGAGTAACCGTTTTTTTTTTTCTTTTTAATAAATTCATTTAACAATCTAATTAATCTTAATAACATCTTTAATTATGATTTTATTAATAATTAAAAAAAAAAAACAAAAAAAAAATCAGGCCCTCCTCCTTCCCCCTGACCTCCTCCTGCCCCTGCCACCCATCACCCTCCTCCCTTACCACCGCTCCCCCACCACTCAACACACCACGCAACGCAGCAGCAAGCTCCGGCCAGCAGAGCCTAACCGCAACCACCAACGGCCGTCGCAGCACCACCAATTAGCAACAAGTTCTTCGGAGCCTAGCAATTCACCCACAAAACCCCCAAATTGATTTGAAAACCCCCCTTTCCAAAACCCAGCCCCGAAACCGCCCTAACCGAAACTAGGGGATGGTGATTTCGGTGGTGAAGGTGGAGGAGATGCGGCGCTGCTGGTTGCGAGGGAGAGTCGGGGTTTGTGAGTGTTGTCGCTGTTGTGGTTAGTAGGTCTGGTGTTGAGGGTTTGTGGTGGTTGGTGTTTTGGGTGGTGGCGAGGGTTTCGCGGTGTTTAGGGAGTTTAAGGGTGGCACTGGGGTGCGAATTGCTGCGATTTGTGGGGCTGTGTGGGTGGCGACTTGTTGGTGGTGGAGAGTTGCGATGTTTGGTGATTTCGGAGGTGCAACTGGTTGGTGGTGGAGAGTTGCGTGGTGGTTTTGGTGTTGTTCATGCCGCTGCTGTTATTGTTGTAGTTGTGGAAATGGTCGTGGTGGGTTTTTGGCCTGGCTGCGACCACCACCTTCTGGATGGCGGCGTCGTGGACTCGTGCGTCAGCCGGAAATGTTCTGGCTGGCGTTGTGGGCTGCTGCTGCGGTGGCTGACCACCGAACTCCCTTCCCCCTTCCCACAAAATAATAATAATAATAATAATAATAATAATAATAATAATAATAATAATAATAATAATAATAATAATAATAATCAATATTATTACCTATTAAAAAATAAAATATTAAATAAAAAAAGCAAATTAATTTTTTTTAACCCAATTAAACAATTGACACGTAGCCCATATACCTATTAATCAAGTCAACAACAGGTCATGACTTGTCTAAAGCGGACACCACCAAAAGGTGGTATTATTCTGGGATAATCAAAAGGTGGACTTGTTTTTAGCGGACGGGCTAAAGGTCGTATTATTTGAAGCAATTTTTCCTTATTTATTTAGTGATGTGTAAATTCATTAATAAAGATTGAGAATAAAATTTGGCTAGCTAAATTTTGAGTAGTTTATAATTTCCATTTGTTAGTTTAGGAAGATAAGTTTGAAGATGTACCTTTTTTTTTTTTTTTTAATATTGATTCACAAAATTTAGGTCAACTTATTCAATAGAGCCGTAGTTAAGTTATTGAGTTACATCACGACAATTTTTTGTTCATAACAATCACAAACATCTCTACAATACTTGGGTCAACTTTGGAGTGTTGCACTTAAATCACTCAAATGGATGGAAGCACATTATCAGTCTAATACGGAATTAGAGTTAGGATGTAAATTGTCTCACCATCTGCTAGAAATTGAGAGTATATACATATGCAAAACTAATATTATAAAACAAGATATCATGTTTTCGGAAATATGAACAATCTAACAACACTGCTATTATTAGATGATCTTGAAAGATTTAAGGCATGCTCTAAGTCAGAGATGTCGGTCACTGTTACCTTTTCTTTCTCTTCATCTTTATACTTTATTTTGAATGTGTTAACCTCTAGTTCTAGTTTGTTGGCAATTTCTTCTTTGAGCTGGTCAATACTTTTACTCAATGAGAAATCAAATCTTACTATATCATCATTATAATAGGCCTTCACAATAAAGTTGCTTGATTTCTCATTTTGTGGCAGAGCATCTGATAGTGTACGCTCATTTGCACCATTCAAATGCACTTCGGCGCCTTGATGACTATCTATGGTTTCCATTAAGTTCCCTCTGATAACAACATTAGAGTTGGAGGATACATGATTTGGCAACGTATGCAGGTCTGATCCCATTATACACTCCACATTTTCCGCGTGAGCTGCTAAACTACCAAGGTTCACCAAATTCTGTTGTGAGCAATCACTTTCAAATGGTGCTTTATTGTTGTGTTTCCTCTTCTTTGCATCAGGCTGTAGTTTTTTTCCTTTTCTTGGCCACTTGACACCCAATTTTTTTATTCTTCGTTTCAATGTAGACCTCGATACTGCAAATTGAAGTCAAGTATGATTAATCATTTAGAAAAGCCAAAATTAAAACGTGCATCATTTATATTTGACATCAGGTGAAAGCAAGTCCTTGCATAAATTGCGAGATGGAGGGATTAATATTTATATTGAAAACAAAACAACAATAAAAGTTTTCAAATCACTAACACCTCAACGACATTTGATTTAGAAAAGGAAACATACCTCTAAGTTGTTCTGCTGCGTCTTCTAGCTTTGTGTGATTGGACCAGAATGATTGTAGCTTCTCTAGAGTGATATTATTTTCTTTCATCTTAACCACATAATTACTTTGAGGGATACGATTCTGCTCACTTTCTAAAGCATGATGATTGATCTCTCCACAATCAATTTCTTTTGTGACATATACAAGTGCAATCCCTTGTTCAGTTGCTGTAGTTATAGTGTTTTGAATAGCATGGCTACTCTCACCACTTGGATTTGAAGTCTCCCCTTTGTTATAACTGAGATCTGTTTACACATAGAAACCAAAATTTTTGACTAGTACAACACAAAAAACTTTACTAGATGTTATAGTGAGCCTTTCCGCTAAATGCAAGTAGAGATGAAATTATTAAAAGGCAGGGATCAAATCACATAATGAACATCTAAATTTGCTTAGTGTCCATTTTTGTCAACCAAAAAAAAAAAATACAAAAAAATTGCTTAGTGTCCATGATGAAAATTTCTGTTACTCCGCACATGGAAAAAATTACTCAATGTTTTTATAATTTTGCTCTAGGAAAAAGTTCTCAATTGAAGTTTCGCATTGAATACAGCATTGTTATTCCTTTTGACATATCAGTGGCATCAATAGAAATTAAAACTTCAATGAATAAACAGATTTTAGCAAGAGTATGTAAATGCAGGTCTGAGATAATTAACAATTCTAATACAAACACAATGCGATCATGATACCTCCAAATATTTTTTCTGCAGTTTCTTGAAGTGACATCGGGTTTTCGGACCAGCATTGTTGTAGCTTCTCTGCAGAAATTTCAGTTCTTTTATTTCTCTCCACCATATTGTGTTGAGGGACCTGTTTCTGCCCATTTTCTAAATCATGATGACTGTTCTCACCATTATCTTGCTCAATTAGCATAGTTGTAATGTCATTTTGATCATTTCGTATAGCAGGGATGCTCTCACCTTCTGGATTTGGAGTTTCACTCCTACTAGAACAAAAATCTGTTTGCACAGAGAAATAAAATTGCTTACTAGAACAATCAAGAGAACCCTGCTATTACCAGAAGAGTAGAAGCACACAAGCACTTACAACTTGATCAGGGGATTTCTCATTAGAGATAAAGAAATTGCAATATAAAAAATGGTGATGTATGCAACTACATCAGGGGACTAAATAGCACGTACGTACCTTCAAGAATTGGAATAACATGTACTTTGTGTGGTGATGTTTGCACATTAATTGAACCCTCTTCCAGTTCTTTTGAAATTGCTTCATTATGTCCCTCTATGGAATCTAGATCGGTCCCATTGCCTTCATTGCTGGTTTCCATTGAGGTTTCATAACCATCATCATCATAACTCATGTCATTGAAATACAGTTCTACTATATCATCAATAGTAACATTAATGAACCCTTTATTAGGATACTTAAGAGAGCTGTCCTGTTGGAAACATTTTGGAAGGATCAAGTGCTCCAAATTGGATAGCTTTGTGATGCTATCGGGAAGTGACTTGATTCTTGTACCACTAATATCCAGAGTGCACAACTTGACCAATTTACCCAGATCATTCGGCAATGCTTCAAGGCTGGAACAATCTTTAAGTTGCAATTCTTGCAGGTTTTGCAGTCTTTCTATGCTGGGAAGCAACTTTATGGAGTAGCATGTAACCGAAAGTTTCTCAATATTGATTAACTGTTTCAAATTTAATGAGGCTACATCACATTTTGTTCTTTCGCATCTTCCTTTGTCGTGCAAGATTTCCAAGCGATGAAGACTTGTAGGAAGTGATTTGATGATGGAACCAGAAAGCTTAAGTTCAGCAAGTTTCAAATTTGCAGGTAATGATTCGAAATCACATTGAAAGAGATCCAAAGCTTTCAAGTTGGACAACCTAGCCAGGCTATTAATATTAGAATGTTTACTGCCATGACGTAGAGAAAGGTGTTTAAGGTTGACCAACAGATCCAAATTTGATGGCAAGTTTGTGTCCCCTAAATCTAGGCATAGAAACTCCAAGTTGGATAGCTTTCTGAGGCTAGTAGAAAGGAACTCAATGTTACAATGCTGAAGAGAAAGATGTCTAAGCGTCTTGCTTACGCCAGAGAGGTGCTTCAAGTCGAGGTTAATATTACCAGAGATATAGAGGTAGGTGAGCTTAGGCAGCTCCCCTATGGAATCTCCTATCTTCGGCAAATAAACCGGCAATTCTAACTCCAAGCTACGTACCGACACACATAAATCATAGTTTTTCATAATCCATAGCCCGGGATCCTCCTTCAATGGGAGATAACCAGAAGAAGATATAGTTGAAAAATTATGAACTTCATCAACTGCCATTTTCAAATTAGGAGGATGACTAAGAAGCAGCAGCATAATTAATTAAATAGAGGATCTAAAGCAAAACATACAAAAATTGCAATCCAGGAGAATTTGCTAAAAAATAAATAAAAAGATAAATATATAATCAGACTTTAACCTTTCCTGTTTGTATACTTTGGCATATTAGTAACTTATGTACTGTAAATTAGCACAAAGGGATTTTAAGAAGAGAATAATAATTGACAACATAAAATTGTCATAGATATAAGTAATGTTTGAAACACTTACCTCCAACACCACGAAATGATAATAGCCCCATCTCAGTTTTGAGTTCTTTCCAGGTTTTTCGAATGTGCATACAGTCTACAGTAATTACGACAGACTCAATCAATTGACATGACAATGTTTCGAGTCTGAAATCCAGCGGCAAGTTTAGAAATCGCAACTTCTGAAGATTCTTGATGCTCCAAGGAAGACACTTGATTTTGGTATCACGAATGTCAACAACCAATAATTTGTCCAAATTATCCAAATTTGCAGGTAACTTTTCAAGGCATGGGGCTGAAGGGCTGACTCCTCCAATGTGTAATTTTAATAGGCTGCAAAGTCCTGCGAAGCTAGGAAGGGACTCGATGTGGATACACCGAATAGAAAGTGTCTTAAGATTTGCTAACTCATTAAAATTTGTGGGAAACCTTTTGACATGATGCTGAGAGCAATCCTTAATGGCAAGGTGCAGTAGGTTCATTGACTCTTTCAAATTCGCAAGCAGTTCTTTTGAGCATTTGCAGAGTGATATTTTTAGGTGCTCAACCTTCATTAGATCTCTAGGAGGGAACTGCATCCTACAGTGATAGTTCAGCCATGGATGAACGACATTTATATTGTCCGCCATTTCCTTGGGCGAATTATATTCTGCAAAAAAAAATCTTAAGCTGTCAACTTAGACACAGCATGGTAATAACAAATAACAAAGTACAGTACTATTAACAGTTTGAAATTCATAAAGCTGTGTTTGAAAAGTAAACAAAAGTTCTAACATAACTAGGATCACAATACTCAACAACCTAAATTTCCCATTGTCTTCATTAACTTTCTAGGTGAAGGTAAGCAAGAGTGCACTAACCAGATAAAAGAACTTGAATCATTAAACAAACAAGGTTGGAAAACTCAGAAAGTAACTAAGCATGAAGCATCTAACAAATCTAGGCAAACTAACCATCATGTTTCTCTGCAGCATTGACAAATCTAGGCAACGGTTCCAGGATTGCCCCCGGAGTAATTTCTTTCTCTTGTCTAATAACATTAGCAAATCCATGATAACTCTGAGAGTTGTTGTTATGTCCCAAATCTAAAGCATGATGGTTGTTCCAGCCACCAACAATACTATTTCCATCCCATGAAGATATATTCTGACAAATTGAAGCAATTTCATGTTCATTTTCCAAAGTCATGCTGTCAAATTGTTCATCATTTATAACATGTTGATTGTTCACACCAAAAAAATCAGCTCCGGGCCTGTTTTTCATAAATCCGCCATTTCCCAAAGGATTGAACTGATTTTGTGAATACAAAGCAGTATGCTGTATATTCTCATCAATCGGATCTTTACTGACATTAAAATGAGAATCTGCTTGCACAAAAAACGTAAAATTTTCAACCTAAGCAGGCTTTATAACTTCTGATGATTTCAAACTTGTTACATGCAGGGTTTACCACTATCATTAAGAGTGTTGGAAGCACACATACCTTTATAAATCTGTGAAATACCACCTTGTTCTGTTGTGCTGTGCTCAATAGAGCCTATACTTATACTGTTGAAAAGATCTGCTGATGTCTGCTCATCAGGGACAGTTTCATGAATTTCTACTGTTGGCACAAGACAATCGTCTTCATTGCAGCTCTCTGTTGACATTTTGATACGAGAGTTATTCATATGTGTGAAGTATGCATCATCCGTGTCATCAATGATGATAAAAAAAAAATGCAACATAAGTTATAACATATGAAGTACTGGCAACATTTAATTACCTCCAGGAACAACAATTGGTTTTGTTACTTCATCTTTGCTTTCATCGGAGGCTGAGGCTTGGTAAAGGGAAGCATCGTAGTCATTGCTCTTGTAGTATGCTTCTTCCGTGTCATCAATGTTGAGCACTTGCTTTAGACTCCTTGGCAAGCTTTCAAAGTTAAAACACTTGGGGAGGATTAAGTGTTGTAGATTGCGCAGCTTCACAAAACTAGAAGGAAGGATCTTGATTCTGGTAACACTGATATCAAGAGTATGCAAATTGACTAACTCATGTAGATTTGATGGTAGTTTTCTGAGGCTGATACAGTCTTTGAGTTGTAATTTTTGCAAGTTGTGGAGTCTTGCTATATCTTCAGGAAAGAACTCCATTTCAGAACATGTAATGGAGAGAGTCTCCAGTTTGACCAACTTATTCCAACATTTTTCAAAGATACAACTCAGGTCATATTTGAAAAATAAGATTTCCAGGTGATGTAGGCCAATAGGAAGTGAGTCAAGTGAATTGAAGCAGCAATCCACAAGCCTGAGTTTGTGAATATACATACATGGTGGCAATGACTCGCAACAATAACAGGAATTGAGATCCAGACTCCTTAAGTTAGTTAACTTTTCCAAGCTATCATAAAGTGGCCTCATATTGCAATGTGATAAAGAGAGATGTTTGAGGCTGACAGGCATATTAAAATTTTCTGGTAATTCACTTTTAAGCGAACGCAGATGTAGTGTTTGTAAATTGGATAGCTTGCTCAAGCTGTGAATAACGGACTCCGCAATTCCAAACTTAGAAAAGTGGAGGGAGAGATGTGTAAGCCTTGTGAATGTGACAAAGTAGTTATCCGGGAGGCAAATATGATCATTGATGTAGAGATAGAGGTGGGTGAGCTCACTGAATTGCATTATGGAATCTGTTAACTCCTCAAAAATTTCCAAGTCCAAAAAGCGAACCAACATGAGTAAATTTCTGTTGTTAATAATCCATTGCGAAGGATCATCATCCTCCTCCAATCGGAGATAACCAGGAGGAGACATGATAGAGGGATTTTGAGCTGCATCATCATCATCATCATCATCATCCTCCAATCGGAGATAACCAGGAGGAGACATGAAAGAGGGATCATCATTTCCTATTTCTGCCATTGTAGGAGGGGGAGAGAAGAGATAAGCTTGATTATTACATAGTATAACTACCACGTCAACCAGAACAAACAAATTTGGAGTAAAACTGTAAAAGTAAAAGCATTGGCAATGTAATACTTACCTCCACCAAAAGGATTAGGCAATTCTCCTATCTCTGTTTTAAGTTCCTCCCAGGATTTGCGAACATGCCTTTTTTTAACGGAAATGATGACCGAATTATTCAATTCAAATGGCAACGTTTCGAGTCTAAAATCTTCGGGCAACATTAGATGTTGGAGTTTGCGTAGCTTCGTGATGCTCCAAGGAAGACACTTGATATCGGATTGTTGAATTTCAAGAAGACATAATTGGGCCAACCCATCCAAATTTGCCGGCCATTCAACAAACTCTATATGATCATGAAGAGAGAGAACCTGAAGGTTGACAAATTGATTCAAAAGGGCAAAGATTATAATATAATCGCCATGCCTTTCGCAACCTGAAATGGAGAGGTGTTGTAGGCTGCATGGATCCTTCCAATTTGCTAACGATTCATCAGAGCAGCTACAGACAGTGACTCTCAAGTACTTCAGTTTGATTGGCAATTGTGTGAGGGAATAACATTCTTCGATGAATAAAGTATCCAAGCTGCATAAATCTTTCATGCTATCAGGTAGGGACTTGATATTGTTGCAGTCATGAAGCTCCAGATGAGAAAGACTCTTCATTTGTCCTAGATTTGAAGGTAACTCCGTGAGGAAATCACAGCTTTCGAGATTTAAGGATGTCAAATTGGATAGATTTGCAATGCTCATAGGAAGTGACTTTATGTTCTTGCAAAATCCAAGTTCGAGATGGGTAAGGCTCACCAACTGCCCTATATTTTCCGGCAATTCAACAAGGGAATTACAGTGAGAGAGATTTAAAAATATCAAATTGGATAGATTTGCAATGCTCATAGGAAGTGACTTTATGTTCCCGGAACAGCTAAGCTCGAGATGGGTAAGGCTCACCAACTGCCCTATATTTGCCGGCAATTCAACAAGGAAATAACAGGCACAGAGAGATAAAGATGTCAACTTGGATAGATTTGCAATGCTCATAGGAAGTGACTTTATGCTATTGCAATAAAAAAGTTTGAGATGGGTAAGGCTCACCAACTGCCCTATATTTGCCGGCAATTCAACAAGGGAATCACAGAAAAAGAGAGATAAAAATGTCAAATTGGATAGATTAGCAATGCTCATAGGAAGTGACTTTATGTTCTTGCAAAATTGAAGTTCGAGATGGGTAAGGCTCACCAACTGCCCTATATTTGCCGGCAATTCAACAAGGGAATTACAGTGAGAGAGAGCTAAAAATGTCAAATTGGATAGATTTGCAATGCTCATAGGAAGTGACTTTAGGGATTTACCCAACACGAATTTCAGGCAGATGAGCTGTGTGAACTCACCTATGAATTCTCCTATCTCTTCCACATCATCCCTCAAATAAAAATTCAAGTCTAAGCTTGTAACCAAGGCTAGACGAGAAGCAGGGTTATTTTTAATCCATGCCTCTGGATCCTCCCACAATTCCAAGTGACCTTCAGAATCTACTTCTCCGACAGTTAACATTTCCTTAGCTTCAGCAAGAACACCAAAAACCACCTCTTTTAATTTTAATTTCAAATTACAGAAATATAAACTGGGAAATAAAGGAACAAAGAGAGAAGAAAAATACTACTCAGTAGACAGTAGTTGCAGCTTTAAGATTCCATGAAGAAATTATCACAACTATCAACTTGAACGTGAACCTCAACCGCAAATAATTAATTGTGGTTAATAAGAAGAGCTAATGACCACATAGATTTATAAATGCATCACAGCTTTTCTGGACCCCACTAAGTAATAGGCCAAAGACCCTATACTCCATTGACTTCCTGTTTGCTAGTACCAATTTTCAAACTACTCTTCCGTTTAGTAATAATTGAAACAATGGAGTACTGTTTGATCGATATGAGAATTAAATTCCTATAAAAATTAGTATTTAATGGAAGTTAAATTCTTAATGAAATTCCTAGGAATTTCCTAAATGTGTTCAGTTGGTAATATACGAAATTGAAATTTCTATAAATTTGGGTTATTAAAGAACCTTGTTAATTTTTTTTTCAAAGAAAATGAGCCAATATAAAACCAATCCTGCATTTTCTCGTCAATTATTCACTCGGAGTTGAATATTGCCAATTCTGAAAATAAGACTCATATAGAAGATTGTCTGAGTGACCAAGACTAGCTTTTCCATTAGAATTTAATCTTCTGTTGCAGCAAATGTGTCTCTTTGTTTTAGGTTTAACCCTGCCCGAATTTTGATAAACTAATGTATCGTAGTTAATTTGATGTCATACATTTGAATTCGTTTACTGAGAGATATTCAAGAGATTTGATCCTCTCTAGATCCTTTCAACTATATTCCATATTGGAACGTCGTTGTGATTGATAGAGTATAAAACCAATCTTGCATTTTCTCGTCAATTATTCACTTGGAGTTGAATATTGCCAATTTTGAAAATAAGACTCAGCACTAACAGTCCAAGTGTCCAACTAGTGGGTTGTTGAGTACTTCTCAGGGTGACCAAAACGCCTTATTCTTAGAAAATTGTAGTATACAGAGTACTTTGACTAATGACTAGTTATGCACTTGTTGATTTTTGAGGGTGTGAACACCTTTTTTTTTTTTTTTTTTTTTTTTTTGTCATGAAAAAGCATGATATCGGGAAAACATGAGTGATCAAAGAATGGATGAAAATAAATTCAGACTTTCTGAAAGTGGTAAAAAGTTCTATATGCCCTACCTTTTGCTTAACTGTGAAGTTTTTGATATTGTTTTTCGAAAAATTGACAAAATGCAAGATTTAACTCTAAATTAGCTCTGTTACTGATCACAGAAACATAACCTATAATAACTTTGGGTTAGGGATTATTTCTGGAACATGTACACAGCATAAGGGTTAAACCGTAACAAACATAACTTATACGGCTATCCCCACACCCGCCTATCTCCTGAGATGAGATGAGATTTGAACCTGCGATTTTGAAGGCTTACCACCCTTTACCTTCTAATTTTGTTACATGAACATATGTATAAAGATGACTTTTATCATTCTGTAAGCATCCAAATTAAAGGATGAAATGTAGAGTCTAATTCATGCTTAAAATGATAGACAGGTAAAGGCTTTTGTGATGGAGCACCACCTTAGAATTAGACATGAATTTCTGTGACATGTAACAGAATGATATAAATGATTTATTATAGTAACAATGATTTAATTCTTATCAAACTACTGTTGTCTGTTAATGAAATAGCATTAACCAGAAAAGGTACTATAATGATTTTCTGTTAAAAACTCATTGCCTATTAATCAATTTATTTATTTATTTTGGTGCGGGTAAGAGTCTCATTTCATGTCATAAATCATGATAACGTGTTAGCTTCTAAAACTTAGATCATCATTTTGGCTAAGTTGATTGATATCCCATCAATCCCTATATTCTTTTCTAATCAGAATAAGTCCCAATCCAAAATTATTAATTTGTTGAATTTGGTGAATAATTATTATTAAGATTCTAGCATCTTTAGCCATAGAACAATCCCTTGCTACCACACGTATAAGAGGATTCCAATCAAATAATGTATCAAGTTATTCTATTATACACCCGATCTACTATATGATCAAGATTTATAACAGACAATTATGTATCATATAAATAGTACACTAAGTAATTCCCTTCAATAATGAAATATGTACAAGGAACACTATATTTTATTTTATTTATTTTTTTAAATTTTTATGTTTTGGCTTGCAAGCATTATTTGTTGGATAGAATGGATACTAGTGTTGGCTGCTAGATTATATAGTGAACAAAAGTATTATTTAGTCCTATATACAAAGTATTATTTAGATTTGAATTGTATGTTCAATTACTTTATACCAGTATTTGGATTTGAACTATATGGTCATATACGCTATGATTTTTAGTTTGTACATCATGTTTTTGTCTCACCATTTTTTCCGATTGTGAGGCATACGCGTTTAATGTTGATTAAACTATTGTTTTAATACATGTGCACAGTGAGCATTGGGGACGTTTTACCAAAGTGAGCCCAGTTTGGTAAATATTTACCAAAGTAGACGCGTGGCAAAAGTATTTACCAAACTAAGCTTCTAGGGTAAAACGCTGTCTCGGTCAGCGTTTTATCCTGGAATATTTTTTTTAAAAAATTCAGTAGGTAAAACGCTGTCCCAGACAGCGTTTTACCTTTAAAAAAATAAGAATTCAAATTGAACATAAAACGCTGCCCGAGACAGCGTTTTATGTTCATTTTTTTTGTTGAACGTAAAACGCTGTCTGAGACAGCGCTTTATGTTGAAACCTAAAGCGCTGTCCCAGACAGCGTTTTTCTGCTGGAGACAGCAGACCAGCAGCAACCAGCAGCAACCACCACCAACATGCTCCAGCAACCTGCAGCACCCCCAGCCTTCATACAGCCAGCACCCTCAACCACCACCAGCAACCCCTGCCGTCGACCACCAGCAACCACCACCTCCCGCCACTTTCGACCACCCTTATGCCGTTGAAAACACTCCAACAACCCCTGCAACACTGCAATCACCACCACCACCAACCCCTACCGTCCCACCACCGTCGACCTCCACCAACCACCACCTCCCGCCACTGTCGACACCCCCAACAGCACTACAACCACCGTGAACCACCAAAGTCCGATTTAGACAAATAAGGAAATTAAACTTTACATCACACAGATTCATTAAAAAAACATTCATTATATTAATAATATAAGTGTTATTTACATCATTCTACAAAATCGGGCTACAGGAAGTAAATGACCTAATACTATCCCGACTCATTTATTCTGGGTAAAGGTTCTGTCTCTGTGTCGGCCCTCCGTCTGACACGCCGCCGCCTGTAATGGGTAATGGTGGTAAACGGGTCTCGGGGCGGTGGGGTAGTAAGCTGGCTAGACGATGGACCCTCTTGGGTAGGGGTCGGCGCAGAACTGTGGAAGACGTAGTCCTCTGCGTTTATGGGTGACGTAAGATCACCTCCACAGCTACTCTGGCCGAGCTCGAACTGTGAATGGACCGAGCGCCCATCATGGTCGTCCCGCTGGGTGACGAGATAGCCGTGACCATATCTCTGTAAGGTAGTCACGCCCATATCGCGTACCCGCTGGACCTGGGGTCTGGTGGGTCCGTCTACGAGGCTGATTGACAGTGCATCAACCATCGCAGCCATATCCGCAGCCTGCAGTAATCATCGATCAGTAAGTTGTATGATATAGAAATTAAAAATTGATAAAAATAAGTAGAATAAAAGAAACTCACATATCCGTGAATGACGTCATATGCTGGGTGGTAATGTGTCGAGGGTGGTGTGTAACTGGGGTTGATGAAACGCCGTGTAATACGCCTGTACCACACCATGTATGGATCGGTGGGATCCACAACGCCCTCCATCGGGGCACCTCCAACGACAAACTCAAGGCGTTGCGTCCACAGCTCAACGTAACGCCAATGCTCCAGTAACCAGCTGGTCTCCCCCTTTCCCCGACGGTCAACGCCGTGAAGGCGTACGCTCGTGTCACACTGCTGGGGGATGGGCTGGCGTAGTCCAAACTGCCTCAGGACTCGGTCGGGTAGGTGACTCTCCACGACCTCAAAACAGATCAGGGGGACCCTGGCGCGCCACTCCGCCTGATGGTCCAGCAGATGTGCAGGCATGGAATCTACCAAGTCAGGTACATACGGATCCCATGTCATCTGCAATAACACAACAACAGTAATATCAAGAAAAGGTTAGTCTCAGACAGTATTCACATTACAAAAATGATTACAAGTATCTTTAAATTATTACCTGGTCCTCGGTCGCGGTCCTCGGGTCTGAACCAATACTACTATGAACCTCGTTCATCAAATCATTCATAGTCATATTCGGTTCAAGTGTTACTGGTTCCATATTTCCCCCACTATACTCGACACGGGGTCCATCAAACAGAATTTCACCTCCCCACCGGCATAACAAAACTACATTTTGTGCAGCCACATTCTACATAACCAAAACACATTTTAGGGTTATTGAAATCTAGAGCGAGGTAAAACAGGTTGCCCACAAACTAAGCACTAACTCCATTTATAAACTCTTAGTTTAGGTTGAAATGCAAAACGATTACTAACAAACTAAACTTGCAAACATTACACTAATATAAATTGATAGATATATTATCAATAATTAACTAAGACTCTTCTCACCAATAACAACTTCACCATCAACAACTTCACCACTTTCAAAAATTTCAACAATTTCAACAATTGCATGAACACTTTCAACAATTTCATGAACACATTCAACAATTTTATGAACAATTTCAACCTAAACTATTTCAATAATTTCAACAATTTCATCTCTTCTCACCAATTTCAACCATTAACAATTTCAACATTTTCACCATCAACAACTTCACCAATGTCATGAACAATTTCATCAACAATGTACCACATCACCATCAACAATTATCAACAATGTACCACATTTCCATTAATAATTAGCAACAATTTCATAAAATTGACATGAATTCACCACAACTTAGAGCAATTACACAAGATTGAGTTTAGGGTTTTACCAAGAAATTGAGTGGAAGAGTGTGAGAGAAAGCAAGGCAGCAGCAAGGTGGCGGCAGCAGCACTATCAACGGCGGCAAGGTGGCGGCGGCAAGGTGGCGGTGGGGGCGGCGACAGCA